AATGTGTTTTATATATTTTATTTAACCTTGTTCAAGTCATTTAAATATTATAATTAGCAAAATTGGTAGTACCTGGTGTCCCTGGAAACGCGTAACTATTTTCTAAAAGATCTTCCTCCTTTCATTCAAGGAATTGACTTACTAAATGAGAAGTTCGTAGTGGCTATGTTTAATCTTATAATTTCACAACTAAGTAGAACAAACATTTTAGTTACCTTTAGACAAATAGGTTTTTAAAAATTTTTTAGCCCTATATATTTATTTCAGTATTATTTTCATTGCATTTCTCATGGCTGGAAATCAGAATGTGTAATGTTAACATATGTGTTACAGTAAGAGGTTACTTTAACACTTTTGTGCATAATTATGAATTTAATGCTAATAATGGTGGTGACTGATAAACTACAGCACACCAATAAATTCCTTCATTCTTAGAACAGTACTATTCAGTAAAAAGATTGTGGGTCACACAGGTAACTTAAAATTTTCTCCTACCTATTTTTTAAAAGTAATTTAATATTTTCAAAATAATACTTTAATACATAATTACTATAAAAAGATTAATAGGGTGTTATCCATCTTGTTTTCATGCTATGCTTTTGAAGTCAACATCTTTCAGTTTGAACTAGCCACATTTTGAGTACATGTGCCCTAGTGACTGTGGTATTGAACAGCAGAATTGTAAATGGTTCAGTGCTATTTGGCCAGTGCCCTTAAGCTGTTGTTTTGTGTTCTATTGTTGGCTTCTGGTTAGTGCTTAAATAGGCCACACATGCACCCTCAGTGTCTGAAAAACCATACACTGATGTGCAGTATCAAATAAGAGATAACTTCTAAACTGTTTTTCTTTCTTACTTAGGAACTTAGTAGAACTATCATAAAATAAGTTTTAATTATTATATGTTTATAAAATAGGGACTGCTACCTCATGGTAATAAATTTTGAATTTAGTCTTACGAGGCTAAAGTATATATCGTGCATTATTAGAAATAAGATGTAAGTGATTAAATGCCTCAAAATTTCTTTTTACATGTGTTATTTCTTTTTTAAACCCTAGACTAATTAGCATGTTGCTATTTCTATTCAGATGAAGTAGTAAAAAATCCCAAAATGGTAAGGAGTTTTGTGGTACAGCATATAATAGTTTTTCTAGGAAAGAGTGGGTGACTGACTGATCACGCGCTGTAGTTGAAAAGAGAGACCATCTCACTTACACAGACAGCTGTAAGACAGGCCATTGTAACCGCCTTCCACGTGAATACTAGTGAGAAGATATTGTGTCTTCTGGGAGAACAGAGGACGGGTGCTGGTGGTGGTGGTGAGTCTAGGGACACTAAATGATGGAGGCTTGTGGGAGCCCCGAGTGCAGCTGGAGATGGAGTGTTGGGAAGTTAATACCTGAACTGTGTCTTTGCAGACAGCAGGCAGATAGTGGAATTCACACGTGCTTTAGAAGAGGTGATTTCTCTAGGTAGGTGGAATTAGAAGCATTTCCTCATTTTGCCAGGATGTTTCTGACACTGAAGATGTGTTTGTGTCTACTTTAAGATTCATAACAGGATCATTAAATACTTAAAATGATCAATTTTGCGTGAATATTTAAATGTGTGCTTATTAAAATTTCACATTGTATATGTGTGTGTTAAATTGCCTAACTTGAAATAGCCAGGATTTGAGGTTATTTAAGTAACTACTTGTAGTTCGTATTGAGTCTACAATATAAGCTTATGTAGTAGGTGTCTAGAATTAGAAGAGCTATGAACTAAGGAGCCTAGCCGTTACCTCGGGAGTGTTATTACTGAAGAGATGATTAAAATGATTAGGACATTTCTCCAGGTAGGGGACTGCAGACAGCAGCAGTGTGCAGGGAAGGACAGACAGGCTACTTTCACTTCAGGTCAGTCCATTTCATGATTTTTAAAAGATATTCTCACTGTAGTTTGTCCAAGTAAGAGAAAGATTATTTGGGGGTTTATTAATAATACTCTGGGACATACCAGAAATGACATGATTAATTTATTGTTCTAAAATGTATACTTGGTGTTATTTATAGCGGTGCTACTAAAATATATTAGTTATTATTGCTAAATGTTTTTCTTGCTAGAGATGACAGTTGTTGGTTTTTATTTAAAGAATAAATGTTTGCCATTTAAATTGTAATTGAGACAGTGACATAGCAGTTAGGAACATGCAGAGGCCCTGAGTTCAGTTCCCAGCACCCATATAGGGTGGTTCACAATTACCCATAAGTCTAGCTCCAAGGGTCTTTGGTCTTGGTGAGTGCTGTACTCGTGTGCACAAATCTATACTTTAAAATTATGCACATGCATGTAATTAAAAATAAAAAAGTTAAATAAATTGTAAGGTCTGTGTTGCATTACCAAAACTGCAATGCAGAAATGTAATCAGACTCTTCTTCACACTGCCAGCAGTGCTGCTCTTAGGTTCAGTAAGCATTGCTTTCCTGCCAGTTAGTAGGGAGCAAAAGTCTGCCTCTGCTTTCTGAATGCTAGGATTAAAAACATGCATCACTATGCTGTGTGTGTGTGTGTGTGTGTGTGTGTGTGTGTGTCCCCTATTAAGCCCTGTAGTGCTACCCATATATGCATAGAGTGCCTGCAGCCATTCACTGACACATGGGAAACCTACCAGTGGCCACACCCCCAAAAGAATGATAATTTTTTCAATTATTTATTTATTTATTTATTTATTTATTTATTTTGGTCAGCCTCTGTCAGCTGACAATAGCTCCACACCTAGGGGTGAGGCCTTGTAAGATCTTCTTCCACCCATTCTGGAATTTTGGCTGGCTTAGACTTTCAGGTAGCTGCAGCCACTGTGAGTTCTTGAGTGCAATGGCCTTGTCATATCCAGAGGTCCGCACATTCACAGCATTCTCCCTGCCTTCCAGCTCCTCTCCACCACCACCACCACCCCCACTTACAGTGTTATTGAACTTTGTAGAGAAGGAGAGGGTTTGGAAAAGTTTGGGACTGATAATCCATCACTTATCCCTAGCCTTTGACAGTTATGAGTCTTTTCACTGACGGCTGCCCACTGCATAAAGAGGCATCTCCTGCCAAGACTGAGAATATCAATCTGTGGATATGAACAGGTATTTAGAAGGCAAATTGACAGCACAACCACTCAGAAAAATAGCAATAGTAGATTCCCCAGTAGGATGTCTATGAACTCCCAGCCATGGGCTTGGCCAAGATTATAGCACCAGTCACTAAATTCCCTCTGTGGAGTGGGCCGCAAATATAGTCAGAAAGCACTTAGTTACCTCGGTCACAGGCATGTCACTGTTGTAGCATTTGGTGCATCTTGCTCTGCAGGTTGGTATTCTAGTAAGCAGGGACAAGCATTAAATAAGATTATTGGTGTCTTTTCTCCTCCAGCAGCCTGCATTGTAACTTCTGATATTTTGAAAGTTAGTCACCAAGGGAGGAATTTTCCCTTTTGGTTTGAGATTAATTTTTATGTTCTGCAACCAAAGTTTTGGTATTTTTAGTGGTAGACTCTAACCATGTAGTTATGGTGGGCAGCTAAGAGCAGTGCCGATAGCCTGTGCTATTTTGGAGACTTCTGGATCCTCCTTGACCAACAGCTTGTAGGGAGAGAGCCCATGCCTGGCCCTGCAATTTTCATTTACCCCATGTCTTCTAGAATGGCGCTACCCACTCCATGCAGTGTACCTCTGTTCAGACTCCTTCTACCCCACCATCACAACTGTATGTTTACGTTAGCCTTCTGACTTAGGGATTTACATAAGACTTTTTCATATGTTCTGCTTGTGTTTAGCCCATACCTTTCTCTATACCATTTCCTCACCCTTCCCTTGCTTAATCCTTTAACCCATCTAATACCAGGTTTATTCCACTATCCCCTCCAGTTACATTTTTAAATTGGGTTACAGTTTAGCAAGTTTCTTTATGACTTTTCATACTATCTTCCTTCAGAAATTCCAGGGTTTGTTTTGTTTTTGTTTTTGTTTTTTACCTATAATTCACTGTGGCAGGCACTGCCACCTCTCCTAGTTGTTGCGTGGCTGCTGTGCACACCTAGTGACTGCATCCTCCCCCTTACTGCAGGAGAAAAAGGAGCCAGCTTCAGCAGTCAATCTGTAAAATAAAATTGTTACCAACAGGAACTATGGGTTGTCTGCACATAAAGATCACATCTTCCAGATTATTACTTTTTAAAAAATGTATTTTAATTTTTTGAAATCACAGTTTATAGTACTTTTTTCTTGTAGGACATGATATCTCATAGCTATTAAGGTGACTGTATTTTCTTCTGTTAGTTCAAAAGTATAAATGTATTCCGTTATGGTGCCTCCGCTGATACCCAAGTAAGGAAGGTTTCATGCACATGACTGCTTTAATAGTTCCAGTAAGTAATCTTATTGGGACAGATCAAGCTGATCAGTTGATACTATGATCTCTAAGCAGAATATTGATCCTGAAGTTATCTATGATACCTAAGTCTTTCTTGAAGATTCCATTATAAGAATGCTATGTATTTGTGTTTGAATCTTTAGTTATATATGAGTTACAGTATAGTATTTCCTGGATAATATTTTTTTACTTAGTTCATAACTGCTTGCTACAAGAAGTTCTTTTCTTGTTTTAAAATTAACAACACCACAGCCAACTCTCTGTCCCGACCTAGTGAAGGCCACTTGAGTTTGTGACTGCACAGACTGTTTATAAATCCTCCTTTTGAGTATTCCAAGCCTAAGGGCGTTTTCTTATTAGATTGTCCGTGAATTGACTGATTTTGTAGGAGCACTTTTCTTCTACACCTGAACCATAAAATAGAAGCATTCCTAACTAGTTTCTTTAGTTTTTGTCAAAAGTATGTTTTTTTATAGTTCTAGTTTTTGTATAAAATGAAGCCTGAAAATTTATCAAGTTACCCATGTGTATGTGGGCAGGGTGTTGTTCATTTCCTGCAGTGTGATTTCATTGTGTTGCTCTGACCTTCTTTTTGCATAGGGTGCTGGCCAGGATAAACTGGGAATCTACGTTAAGTCTGTTGTGAAAGGAGGCGCTGCAGATGTGGTTAGTATTTGTTTAAAGGAAACAGTTGAAAGGCACGTGCTGTGTGAAGTGCTGTGCACATGCTTCTAGCTGTGGGTGCTGTACTATGTGGAGGATGCTGCTGTGGACTGACAACTGCCTTTCTTTCCCCTACACTTGCATCCTTCTGGTGCCTAAGGATGGACGTCTAGCTGCCGGTGACCAGCTCCTCAGTGTGGATGGACGGAGTCTGGTTGGACTTTCTCAGGAAAGGTATAACTAATTGGTGTTTAAAGCTTAGTCTTACTGTATTGAAGTGATATTTTACATTTAATTTTGAAATTGGAAATCAAAGAGTAGTGCTGAAATACTCCACTTACCTTTTTAATTCTAAAATTCTTAAGCGTACATAAAAATCCCATTTTTCTGTTCACTCATAAATACATATTTTAGTCTAGACTATTTCTTTAAATGAATATATAAATGAATACATATATTCACATATACTTAGTACTTGTAGAATTTTTAAATATTATCTGAGTATTAATATGATAACATAGGATATATTTACATGTTTTTATAATTTCAGAAAGAATGTAGAGGTAATCTTTAATAGGAGGTAATCTTTGTGAAAGCCAAACTTATTTCCTCAAACAGCTCTCAGGTTGAGGAACCTAAGCCTGAGTGTTCTGAACACAGCTTCTCCTGTGAGCACTCAGTTTTCTTATACTATGTATTTTCTTCCTAGGGCAGCAGAACTCATGACAAGAACCAGTTCCGTGGTCACACTTGAAGTTGCAAAGCAAGGCGCCATCTATCACGGCCTGGCCACCCTCCTTAACCAGCCGTCCCCCATGATGCAGAGAAGTAAGAACTGTGGCTGAAGTCCGAGTAGCTGTCCTGTACTGATCCTGCACTGTAGTGTGACTCCTGAAGTTTTCACAAACTGGGCCTGGAGGGTGCTCAGTAATTAAGAGCACCTCCTCTCTTCCAGAGGACCTGGGTTCAGTTCCCAGCACTCACAGCTGCCTGCTATTCCCTTTTCAGGGGATTTGATGCCCCCCTCTGACCTCCTTGGGCACCAGTCCAACATGCACATGTATACATGCAGGCAAAGCACTCATACATATTACAAAGGGGGTTATCAGAAGTCCCGTGTAGTAGCTGCTGGTACTGTGACTGCCCAGTTCTTAAAGTAAGAAGTTAAAAGTTAAGAGTGCATGGTGCTGAGAAATACTACCAGGTCAGGATTCAGCTGGACACCAGCCAACCTGAACCCCACACTTTAGTTCACTCAGGTTCCCCTGGCTCTCAAGAGAACTTTAACCTCAGCCTGTTTAGCTGGTTATCTGCTAATGATCTCCATAGATCGTGTACAGAGTAGGTAGATACTCAGGCACCAGTGAAAATGAATAGATGTTGAATTTTGATAGGCACAATCAGGACATAAAATCTTTAAGATAGGAATTGTATTTCGTATTCTTTAGAAGAGATTATATGCATATATATGTTAGTTGTTCTTCTAATTCCGCCTGTACTAAAATAAGGCAAGGTTATCTTGCCATATTTCTCATCAGAGAAAATTCAGTTATTTCAACAAAGTAATTTATTTGTGGGAACTGATCCTCCAGCTATATTAAAATCTTTAGGAAAAAAATCAATATAAATTTAAAGCTTCCTAAAAATTTATTTTAGAAACTATAAGAGGAAGAAAACATTGTGACTCTTATTATTCTATGATCATTGACCCTTCAGATCAGCCTTAATGATAGATTCTACCAAATGTATGCACAGTCTGTTAAGTGTAGTTTTGTTAGCCGCCTTCTCCCCAGTCAGCTTTGAAACCTGCACATCCCAGCACCTGACCTTTGTCGTGTATAGTATCAACAACAGGAAAGGTGTCAGACAGCCTAGAATCCTATTCATTGAAGTAGAGAAATAGCAAGGTATCCTGACAAAATCACGTGTTGGCATGTCAAAGCAGAACATCATCTTGAAACCCAAACGGGAGTGGGTAATGAATCAGTCCCAGGTGAGCAGATGAGAAACTGCACTGTAGACAAGGAGCGGGTAATGACAGCAGATAGCGGCAGTCGGGATGCCATGACTCTGATGGGTGTTAATATCTGTTCTGTCAAGTGAGAGGAGCATATTTACCTTTGAGGGCTTTTAAAAAAATACTCTAAAATAGTTACTTTGTTACTTATAAGTTATGGTTCATTTGTTGAGAAAATAATGTCAGTTTTCCCCATAGATACATACCAATTAAATTAAATATTTTCTAGTCAGAATACGTTTTAAAGTTTGATTTTTTTTATATATATATAAAGCTGTTTGTGATGGCACACACCTTTAATCCCAGCACTTGGGAGACAAAAATAGCTTCCTGACTTCTGTGAGTTTGGGGCTACCCTGGTCTTCCTAGTGAATTCCAGGCTAGCCATGGCTATCCAGTGAGACCCTGGGTTTTGTCTTATTCTGCTTGCTTGCTTTTGTTTTTGTTTTTTTAAAACTGTGAAAGGAATATATGTATGAAATTACTCTATTGTACGAAGAACTGTCATGAAACATAAGTATTTTAGATGCATCCTTTGAAGTTTTTCAGAACATTCAAAGCAGACTCTACGAACCAGTGGAGCAACACAGAATTATTGAATCCACTTTGATTTCAGTTTCAGATCGTCGTGGCTCAGGTAAACCCAGACCAAAGAGTGAAGGTTTTGAGCTCTATAATAATACAGCTCAAAATGGATCCCCAGAGAGTCCTCAGCTGCCTTGGACAGAGTACAGTGAGCCAAAGAAACTTCCTGGTGACGACAGACTGATGAAAAACAGAGCCGACCACCGCTCCAGCCCCAATGTGGCAAGTAAGAGGAATCATTCTCTAAGGGTGTTTGGTCACTGAAGCGAGTGGGGCACATTGTTCTTTGCCAGTTATTATTTGTATTGTTGGCTACCCGGAGTGGAGTTTTCCTAGAGGTATCATATTCTTTGAGGGAAATAAAATTTCAAGTTTATTTGTAAAACCCTTAACTCAGTAGACACTGTAGATAAAAATGTATTGCTAATGTCTCTGGGAAAGAGTATCAGGTTGCCAGCTTAAGCTTAGGTCTTTTACATTTTAAAGAGTTGCTAACAAAGAAGAATGGAAGGCTATTAATAGAGACCTCTATTAAATTAAAAAAACATCAAATGTTTACTCTTGTGCCTCTTTACCAAAGATGCTAACCATTTCCTGGCCCTGGAGGAAGCCCTTTTCTGAGTTGTGGTAGTAAGAGGTGTGGGGTGTAGGAAGTTAGTTCTTGTACGCCTTTGTCTCCGGCTCTCTGCTGACATTGTGCCAGTGTGTGGTATGGCTACTACCTTTGAAGGAATGTTGCTATGTTTCCTTTACTTGTTATTTAATATGAAACTTCGGTTTTCTTGGCTGTTTCCAACAGATGAGCCTCCTAGCCCTGGAGGGAAGAGTCCATATGCTTCTGGAGCAGCAGCTAAGATAACGTCTGTCTCCACCGGAAACCTCTGCACTGAGGTCTGAGAAATGAGCTATCTGATAGAGTGCTCCACAAGTTACATTGACTGTATAACTCCTGAGTTTTTGTTATTTAATATTTTTATTTTTAATATGCTAGTCAGATAAGTTAATTTTAAATTAATAAATCTGGGGAAATGAGAATTAGTCCTAACTGAGTAAATCTGGAAAAATTAAGATGTTTCTCATGATTCACAGTGTAGGATCAAGTTTTTAATTTTTAGCATAGCACTTAATGTGCATGCATTTTAAAAGATTGTAAAAACAGATCACTGGGTGTTAAGTTAGCCTTTCATACGATTTTAACTAGCTCTTTTCCTTTGTCTTTACATTTTACAGGAGCAGACTCCTCCACCTAGGCCCGAAGCCTATCCCATCCCTACTCAGACGTACACCAGAGAGTATTTTACCTTTCCAGCTTCAAAATCCCAGGATCGAATGGGCCCTCCTCAGAACCAGTGGCCAAATTATGAGGAAAAGCCACATATGCACATAGAAAGTAATCATTCCAGTATTACAATCCAGGTTAGAAATAGTGGATTCACAAACTTTATCATCTCTCAAAGGAATATGGTGCAGTAGTTAAAGACAGTGATGGCTGTCTGTATTTTTCTTTAAAAATATATATTTTGTGTGGGTTTGTTGAGAGTGCATGGGGCACATGGACAGAAGTCTGAGGAATTTGATTTGCAGGGGTCACTTCTTTCCTTCAATCATATGGGTTCTGGGAATCAAACACAGATCAGCAGGCCTTGACAGTGAGCTCCCTTACCCTGATGAACTATCTAGCGGCTCAAGACTGAGTTATGAAACACAGTTGGTAACTAATACAACAGTAAAGTTGTCCTGTTATTTTTGTATGTGTGTTTTAAGTCTGAGGCAAAAAGGAGTAGGCTTAAATTCAGAACACCCAAAGAAAAGCAGTTCTGGTCTCTCTTAAGGTTTGGTTAATGAAATGTCAATAATGTAAGGTATAGTTACTGCAAATGAAAAATATAGTGACTGGCATAGCTTGCACTTGGTTCTGTCTCTGCCAGAGATGATCTGGAGATAGGGCTGAGAAGTGAAACAAACAGAAAACTACACTATTCTTAGAGTTGCTGAAAAAGTGAACACCACTGGGGTCTTGGTGTGGGAATAACCTGACCTGTTTAGAGTCCATCTCAGGTGATTGTGTGGAGAATATTTCTGAAGGAAAAGGCAGGGCTGGAGTCTGAAGGCAAACGGGGCTCATTATAAGATTGTAGGAGCCTGCTAAGGAGTTTGAACTTCTGTCCAAATCAGTAAAGATAGAGATGTCAGTCTGGGGAATTAAACTGGGAAGTACTATCAGATGTGACTGGGAGAAGAAGCCAGCATTGTACTTTAAAGAGAGAAACTCTAGGACACATAAATATGTGTTCCGGAGAGTAAATAATGTGGGAATCCTCAAAATAATCATTTCTCATTTAGAGTGGCCACAAAAGACTTTTTTCAAGCAGACATGGGATTAGAGCTGAGCCTAATGATGGGGGGGGGGGGCAGGAACGGGCAGAGAGCAGAAAGGGTTTGTGCTCATCTATTCTGGGGAACGAGTCTGCCTTTTCCTGGGTGGACCTCATGACTGCTAGCAGCTAGATGTCCTTCTGCCTGAGCACACCACATCTTCTCTAGTACCAAACCAAGGCTACACTAGGCAGCAGGTGCAGAAAGAGTTGAGTGTTTTGGCAGGGCCAGCTCTCTGTTCCACAGATGGCATATGACTTCGTGATGTTCTAGTGTGGTTTGTAAATTGGGTGCCACCAGGATGAAGAACCTGTAGAAAATTAAGCTGTATCTAAATGGAGTTAATGTTATACTTTTCCTGTTATGGTTAAGTGGTAATTTATATTTTCTTAAAAGGAAATATAAATAGTTTATTTTTCAGGTTTGCATTTTCAATTTCTGTTAATTGTAAAAGTGGAATAAAGAATTGATTTATATATCATAGTGATCATTTTTATAAGGATAAGCTGCTTCTATACATGCTACTTTGCAGGCTTCATTACTAGCCTTGTGGGGTAAAATACTTGTTTTAATCTTTTTCCTCATGCACTCAAAAACTTTCTGCTCATCAGAGTATGCTATTGCCTTTTTCTTTGGTAACATTGGAACTAAAACATCTTAGATGAATGGACCTTACTCTTGCATGTTCAATCAAAGAGCTCATGAAGCTATTCCTGAGCTATAGAATTCATTCAGAATTGAACAATGAATATATACAATGAGTACTACTTAGTAGTTAGAATTATATGTCAGGAGTTTTGTTGCTTTTCTTGGTTTCTACTACGCTCATTCATCTCTAGAGCCTGAGGAGATGCCTTTACCTGCCAGCACCAGAGTGACAGGAATAGATATCATCAGATAGACAGAAAATCTTTATTTCTTTTGTAGACAGATTTCCAGCTGTGTCATTTGGCCAGTGAACCATAAAACAGTGTTTCTCATTATACATTCATTCCACTGTGTTTGTAGTCTGTTGTCTGTGAAGATGAAGCATGCATGAAATTTTGGTGATTTCTCTAGTGACCCCCTAAAGTATTACAGTTTCCACTTTCTCTTCTCAGCGTGTTACCCGTTCCCAGGAAGAGCTTCGAGAAGAGAAGGTTTACCAGCTTGAGCGGCATCGAGTAGAGGCTGGCATGGATCGCAAGTGTGACAGTGATATGTGGATCAATCAGAGCTCCTCAGTGGATTCCAGCACATCCAGCCAAGAGCACCTGAACCATTCCTCCAAGTCAGTCACCCCTGCTTCCACTCTGACCAAAAGTGGTCCTGGACGTTGGAAAACCCCAGCAGCAGTACTACCCACCCCTGTCGCTGTCTCCCAGCCCATTCGAACAGACCTACCTCCACCACCCCCTCCACCTCCTGTCCACTACACCAGTGATTTTGATGGCATTCCAGTGGATTTGCCCCTTCCACCTCCTCCTGCCAACCAGGTAGGACCCCAGTCTGCTCAGGTGGCTGCTGCAGAGCGGAAGAAGAGAGAAGAGCATCAGCGGTGGTATGAGAAAGAGAAGGCCCGCCTCGAGGAGGAACGGGAGAGAAAGCGCAGGGAGCAGGAGCGCAAGTTGGGGCAGATGCGCACACAGTCCCTGAACCCTGCTTCCTTCTCTCCCTTGGCCACACTGACCAAGCCAGAAAAGCCTTCCACATTGCAGAGGCCCCAAGAAACAGTCATTCGGGAGCTGCAGCCCCAGCAGCAGCCCCGCACGATTGAGCGCAGGGACCTGCAGTACATCACCATCAGTAAAGAAGAACTGTCTTCTGGTGATAGTCTGTCTCCAGACCCCTGGAAACGAGATGCCAGGGAGAAGCTGGAGAAGCAACAGCAAATGCACATTGTGGACATGCTGAGCAAGGAGATCCATGAGCTGCAGAACAAGGTGGACCGCACTGCAGAGGAGAGTGACCGCCTGCGGAAGCTCATGCTGGAGTGGCAGTTCCAGAAGAGACTGCAGGAGTCCAAGCAGAAGGATGAGGATGATGAGGAAGAAGAAGATGATGATGTGGACACCATGCTGATCATGCAGCGTCTGGAGGCTGAGCGCAGAGCCAGGGTAAAGGGGAAAGGCCTTGGTTGTGCGTATCTGTGCTCCCTATGGTATTTTCTGGGTGTTTCTGCAGAACCAAGTTTTCACAATCATAAGGAAGAGTTAAGAGACCCCTGGTTTCACCTGTTCACCCTGGCTAACAAGTTGCAGGAATGAGCCAGGCCCCTAGGGCTTCATTGTTTTAATTAGCTAGCCCCATAGTTATCCTCACTACACTTCAGTTGAGAAAATAAGTACTTAGTAATGACCACTCACAATTGTGATCAGGGCTTGGCTGACCTGAGATTTGGTGGGCTCTGTAAAGTATAATAGCCACTTGGCTGTGCTGTGAGCAAAGCAGCTAGAGTTGTCATAACAACACTGAGCTTGGCTAACGTGCCAAGGACATCACACAAAAAGCTTCTGGCCCTGATACTGATTGTGAGCAGAGGAAACTTCAGGGCATGAGTTTTAAAGTTCAGTGTCATTACCAGATGGAGGGTCTGTGTACTTATTTTACAGTTGATACATCAAATATTTATTTAATTTAATAACTGTAGTTGTAACATAATGGTGCTAACAACTTTGGCTATAATTTATATTTCCATATTACAAAAATAATTTTATTATTTTTCAAATAAAAATTTTGTAGGCAAAATTTAGCCTAATGCAAATAAATTCTTAAAATACCAAATTTTGGGTAAAAACTAGATTCTTTCCTCCCTGTCGGGCATGGTTGTTAAGAGGCATTTATTGTTAATAACTTGGGCACTTGATAGTAACTTGTGCAGTTACTGTTGTTCGTCATGTTAGTTTTATTGATACTTTTTATCTATACAATTTTTTTCTGATTTTTTTTTCTTTTTAATGTTGCGCATGAAAGGGGTTGTTAAACAGCTGCTAGGTCAGACACCTTACTCCAAAGGCACAATGAAATTTAATCTTTGATGGTATTGTTAAGAGTCCAGTAGTGTGATCATCCCTTTTTCAGCTTGCTCTGTGAGTTTTTCCTAAATCTTTTAACACACATACTTGTTCATATGTACATATTTAAGCATATACATATATATATTGCTCTGATTCCATTTAATTTCCTTTTACATACTGACTTTCTTAAATAAGATCAGAATGTAATTTTTAACAATTACACTATTTTACTAGTATATTTCTAGTATCCTTAGTAAACATTCTTAAAAATAACTATGTCTGTCACATCAACCATTTTATCTGAAAGAGCAGTTGATAGCTGGGACTACTATAAGGGTGCACTGACTGGTTCCCACTGTGTCTACGGTCAGACTCTCAGGCACTCCAGTATATTTGTTGTCTGGACTGGCCAGAACTGGTGTATCCCTTTCTACCCTGACTAGCTAAGGATAGATACAATGATTTGTGGCTTTGTATTTTCCTCACCCCAAGATGCTTGAAGTGGGTGGCTGCTGCTGTTCATGACCGGTGATCGCACAGCATCAGTGTTTCCTTCCTTTGACAGCTGAGCCACTGCATTGTAACATCCTAGTAATCTTTTCTGTGAAGATGCAATTTTCATTGAAGATTTGTCAAAGTTTTGCAAAATTGCTACTACTTTGAATATTTTGAAGACTTTAGTACAGATTATGATGCTTGGAATTTTTGATATTTAGTAAAAAAATTTCGTTTTAATAGTTATATTTAATATCAGTTTTAAAATAACACTAAGGGAATTTTTGGGTTTTTTTGTATTTGTGCCTCTTTATGATAAAATTCAAAATATTAATGACATGTGGACATTTTTCTGTTCCTAAATGCTAGAAGTTAGTCTGTGGTTCTATAGTTTTCTCATCAAGTTATCAAAAAGCAGATGAAGCATAACAGCAGCAAAGATGCCGGTGGCGGAATACAGGTCTAAACCTAACTTTTTTTTTCACACTTCATCTTTCTTTTTTTCCCCCCTCTCTGTTACCTGCAGCAGACTGCTATGCCAGCAATCTCTGTTCTAGATTTGGTATGTTCTTGTTTCTTTCCCTTTGGTATTTTTTTCTGTCTTGATTTTCATTTCTCCTTTGGTGATGGCTGTTCTGTGTTCTCAGTAGTCAGTTCTCCCTAGAACCTCCTGGGTCAGGAGACTAGCTCCGTGACTAGACGCATGCCTCTGAATGTTACTAGATTAGTTACTCTACCTCCTCGTTAACTTTAAATGTCACTGTTTGTTCATGGGTCTGACTTCTTACAGTTTTAGTCATAATTTGATTCTGTGTATTCTTACTTCAAGTATGTGGACAAATGAAATAAGGGTTGCACTGGGTAATGATGTCATTCTCGTTGCATTGGAAACAGATGTTAAGTATGGTCACTGAATTCATTGAAAGGACACTGACTCTGCTCCCAGGTTTGAATGTAGCTAAGATGTCACTGTTTATGGTAAAACAATAGATTTCCTGTGAACCTGCATCCTATTTTTCTTAATATCATGTGGATTTTAGTTAGTTCACTGAACAGATGTACCAATTTATAGTCTGCCATCAAACACTTGCATATTATTTTGCTGTTAAATCAACATGCTTAATGTCAGTATCCGAGAAATTTGACTGGTCATTTAATGTTCTTTATGCTTCAGTAATGTGTTTATGTTACCTGATAGACAGTTATATTCTGACACATATATATTTATATTAATTCTTAACTCAGAATTTATTCTAGGTAAACTTCTAAATGATTAAAAAAAAAGTCAATATTTTAAGAATTCCTTGAATTAAAGTTTAACTATAATGGCTACCCCGTCAACTACTAGCCGTCTTTTCTGTTTATGGCGCTTGAGGACAGGCTACCCAGAGAGAAACCTTTTTTATAAGCATCCCCCTCCTTGGTGAATGGAGGAATATTTTCTGACTTTCGTATCTTTGATCTTTATATGAAACAAAGATAATAAACATACACCCCATACACGAACTTGATGTATTAAGTTGTACATAGGTTAGAACTTTTGTTGTTGTGTTGAGAAAGTGTGTCACTGTAAGGACCAGGATGGCCCCAAACTCATGGTCCTCCTGGACTTTCAGGTGTGCACTACATTAGCCATCCTGGAGTCATTCTTGGTATTGGGCAGTCATTTAGGAAATAGTTCTCAAGTATTTACCCTTACAGAGCAGGCACTGACCAGAGGCACTGGCCCAGACACTGGCCAGCTCTTGGCCCAAAGATAGCTTTCTGTGCTGTAGAGTTATCTTTGATGAATAATATTTAATAATGCTTGCATTGAAGTTTTTATTTCCAGTCAGCAGTTCCCAGTTTTTCTTGTTTTAAAGGAATATTTTGATTATTAGTATTGATCTTAAGCACTCTTGTTTCTAAGCACTTCCTATCCAGTTCCCTGGTAGGTACTAATTGTTAACAACAACGCATTCCACTCTTAACATGTCAGAATTGCAGATTGCCTTGGGAACCTCTTCCAGGGAATGAGTGGATAGTGGCAAGCATGTGGTCTCTGGGTAGCAGTGTTTTCCCCGCAGTCTTACGACATGTTCTTAGCATGTCATAGGATGGATTTGGGGTGATTCATGGGGTAAATGAAGCAGGTTTTATCTTGTTCGGAGCAGCTAAGTTCCCTAAGGTTGGAGAACTACCTAAACTGATGGCTACTCTTCCCTTTGTCTGATGCCACTGCTGGTCCCTGGCCTGCCTCCTGCTGCTTCTGCCTGCTCATTTAGATCCATAACTTTAAGATCAATGATGATGGCAGTGACATCCCATTCATGGCTCTAGTCTAGTCCTCTTGCACAATAAGTTTGGCTACCAACATGACTGTATACCATCTCCTCCTGGTGGCAAAGGGGAAACTTCCCAAATACAGCCTGTGCAGAACTAAATCCCTCCTTCTGTGCCTCTTGACTACAGCCACTCTGCCTCAACCTCTATTCCAAGAGACACTTGTTAGTCATTTGAGCTTCACAGCCTTACATGATCCCATTGAGTTCTATTCAGAAACTGTTGCCCCTGCCCACCTTGCTGTCCTCGCTGTTTCACTCTCATTGCCTGCTGGGTTTACTAGTTGACGTCTAAAAGCTAGTCCTTGACTGCCTGGTGATGGCTGTATAACACAGGTCTCTGTTGTTTATTTTACATTTCTTCATAACAAATCTTCTACGGCCCAGGAAAAGTCCAAACCCAGTGTGGGAGCCTTAACCCTCTGCCCCAGAGAACCACTATGAGTTTGCTTTCTGGCCTGCATTTTCCTGTCACAGTATGTATATTTTCTGCTTCATCAAAAGCACTTCCTTTTTATTAAGTGACGTACTAGGCTACCAGCCAGATACTCCCTGGGCCTGTTCGTCCTTCAGTGGCTTGTCTGAGCTTTGTCTTGTCGCATATGAATGGGTCATGTGGTACCCTGAGTAACATGACTGCTCACAGGAATGAACTTCTGTGGGGTTATGCAAGTGAAAAGCTGTTTCCAGTGACTCTTCTAATAAGTCAGAACTGTCGGGGCTTGGCCTTTATATAGAGTGCTAAGGCACAAGCCTTTGAGCCGCCCAGGTGTAAAAAGGTTCAGTCAAGAGCAGTTTTAAGTCCTTCAGGCCTAATTAGAATATTAATTTTCAAAGGAAGCATTCAGATGTGTCCTGGAATGCTGAGTCTCTCTGCCTTGCTTAGGGGCCCCTGTCTTTTTGGTATAGAGCTTAGAATTCACATTTCTTTAAGAAAACAGTGTGAGCTGTATGGTGTGTGCTAAGAGGAATTACTCGGTGCTGCTGTAAGGGTCCTCTTTTTAATGTCCTCTACCTCTGAGAAGGGGGCGTTGTTTTCTAACCAGTTCTGACACTGGGCATAGAGCTTCTTCCTTAGGCCGGAATAGCTGGTCCTTCGTAGATCTAGGTTCTAACCAGGTCTTAAAGTATCAGAGGACTGCCTACAAGGCCTACCTGTATTCGTTAAGTAACAGTTAAAACACATCTTTAATATTACTCTAAGTCTTCAAAGTTATTTTATTTTTAATCTTAAAATTGAGATTGTATTTTAGAAAAAAATATTAGCTATATAGAAAAGGATTTTTTAAAAAGCCTTTAAAGAGTCTGACAGACTTTAGATGCCAACAAATAAAGGAAATCACCATCCTTTTTACATTAAGATAACTTGAACGTGGTTGTTAATTTAACAGTGATAATAGCATTAGTATGTTTTGTGAATTTATAAACGCACAAATCTCAGCCTACACTATTGTTTGACCTGGAAATACCTTTTTAGAAATGCAGACTGGTTCAGAACCTGCCAGACATTCCTACTGGCCTTGAACTCCTGAGTGTGAGGTTTACATTAGCACTGGTCCAGACTGCCCTGATTGGGTCTGAGATGCCTCACCCGTGCTCCATTAGACTGTCCAGGCAGGCAGTTGTCACTGACTACAGAGCAGTTAGATTGCTGAAGATGCCCTTTCTCTGCTACTGCACGTCCGTGAGCCGGACAGCTCAGCATCCTGTAAGAAAATAGAGACACTAATGCTTACAGAGAGGGGAAGTGGGGTAAAATACTTTAAAGGAACAAAACGTTTCAAAGTTTCAAAGTAAGAAGTACACAATATACTAAACGATAGAAAGAAATGTCTTAGTTATAAAAGCACTTGTTAATTTGTCTTTTTAAAAAATATAGTAACCTATGAGCTTAATGCACTGAGAAGACCCCTGGATGACCACCTCACCAGCTAGGAGAATGTAAATTGTACTTTTTAGAGAATGTGTCTTTTGCCAGCTCTGTACCGCAGTTGTGCTCATAACAATGAGTGCTGTAGTTGAACTAGTCAGCTTACCAGTGAGCAGTGTTTTCCAGGCTGGGCAACAGGAAGAGCTTAGTTCTGGAGAGCAGGAAGTATAGCTTTGCATTTGCCCTTAAATTGCTTTCTCTGAGCATTTGCTAGTTCTTGTGCTGCTTAATTTTGATGTTTTTGTGAGGTGCTGCTTCTTGTTTGTCCCAGTGAGCATGCTTTATTTGAACATTGTCTGTGACTGCTCTAGCACCCTGTAGTCATCAGGGAAGACTTTGATTCCTAGTTTCTTTTGTTCTTCATAAACAGTGTCTATGCCTGCTATAAAATCCACTCCCTAAATCCCAGCCTCTGTTTGGACCTTATGTTAAAGAAAAAGTTTTTTGTCTTTTTGAGAAGACAATTTTTCTGAAACGTTTTATTGTTTACTGTCATGAATAACTCAACAGTGTAGACTGGTTTATTCTTTTTTTTTTTTACTAGATACAGTGGGGTTTTACTTGTTTTTATTTTTTGTGTACGAGTATTTTACCTGCATACATGTCTGTGCCTGGTACCTTTGGAGGCCAGAAGATGGCATGAGGTCCCCTGGGACTGGGGTTACAGATGATTGCAGGTTTGCTGGGAATCAGACCCCCTAGAAGAGTAGCCTTAATTGCTGACACATATCTCTAGTCCTAGGTACAATATTTTATTCCATTGAAGAAGGATAAGATTACTAGATTTTTGTGGGATTTTTGTTATGTTTATTTGTTTCTCAAGACATTGTTTCTCTGCATAGCCCTGGCTGTCCTGGAACTCTGTAGACCAGACTGGCCTCAGACTCACAGAGATCCACCTGCCTCTGCCTCTCAAGTGCTCAGATTAAAGATATCAGCCACCACTGCCCAGCTGTGTTTTTTGTTTGTTTATTTGTTTGGTTTGGTTTATTCATTTTGGTTTGTTTTTTAAAGCATACACATATAATCTAAATCCAAATGTTTAAATGTTTTTTTCTATAAACAATGTGTAGGAAAACTGGTGATTTTATAGAAATTTAGTTGCATCGCACAGGAATTTTATATGAAGTATTTCTTCAGTAGCTAGAGATCAGCAGAATAATTTTAGGATTCTTTTAAATTGCGGAGAATTTGAAACGGTCTTCTTGGTGACATGTCATAGTGCCACTGTAGGTATTGCTGTAGCACAGATCAGTACAGCCATTTCAGTGTTGCCACTGTCTGTGATAAAGCTACAGACACAGCTGTAGATCATGATAGATAAAAGTCTCCGTTCCACCCTAGAGCTTTTGATGAATAGAGAAATACGGTCAGGAGGTCAGGAGCCATGAGAAGCAAGGGGAAGCATGTCACAGACATTGGAAGATAGCTGTTAGTGCTTGACACTGGGTAGGAAAGGTGTGCACCTTCTGTCATTTCAGAAAGGTAGAATTTGAATGAGCAAAAGCCAGAGAAGTATCAGGTGGTGGATTAATACAAGCATGAGAACTTTTAAACTAGCTCATACCTAAAGCAGAATATCCTGTATTGGGGAGTCAGCAGTGGCCCTCCATATGTGTGTATACAGAAAAATGAGCCAGAATGAGTTTATTCCAAATCCCAGTTTCAGACTCTAAAGTGCAAGACTGGGGTCTTGTCAGCTAGGAAGGGAGTCTCAGAGTCCAGGTTGATACATGGAGGGTAGGGAATTGCTGGAGGAGGAGCCCTAGTCTTTTACCCTGTTGCCCAAGTAAAGGGGACTGCTTTTAACAGCTCTCACCTGCGCCTGGGTTCAGGACAGCAGCTCTATGCTGCTGTGCAAGACCTACCCATGTCACACGAGAAGGGACTTTCTTAACATTTGGGGTGGTTGTAGTATCTGTAGTTCTTAAAGCAGAGCCTATTGGTGATTTGTAGGAGGTATTTATTATAATAAAAAATTGTACATGATTAATGCATGAGTTATGAAATAACTTGTTTCTTTGAGTCATGATTAATGGAAAAATATCATTGGGACTGTGGAGACAAAGCTTTTAGGTAACTTACCTTGAAATGATAAGAGCTAATTAATACATGAGCGTTATAATCGTCCAGTGATTTAGCCTGGTGTTTTCTACTTGACTTTCCATGTCTATGTGAGTGTGGGTGTGTGTCTGTGTCTGCTTGTTTAAGGATGTGCTTTTTATGTCTGCTGGTGGGTTTTACTGGGTGAAAGTTAAAGTCAGTTTATTGTTAGTTGCAGGATGAGGAGCGCAGGCGCCAGCAGCAGTTGGAAGAGATGCGCAAACGAGAAGCAGAAGATCGCGTGAGACAAGAGGAAGACCGCCGCCATCAGGAGGAGGAGCGAGTAAAGAGAGACGCTGAAGAAAAGGTTATGGTCCTCTAAAGGCAGCTAGTTTTTACCAGATTAGCCTGAACACAAATGGTTGGCTAGGGCAAAGGGGGCTAGAAATGATGTGTACCTAGGATGCATAAGACAGAACAGGGACGGATCTTCCAGCCTTTGCTATTGGACCAAAAACTCTAGCCCCATCTGGCCTGCCTGCCTCTCTTCTGGACTGTCTTCAGGCTCCTTTGCCTTCTGAGCTGGTTTCCCTCAAACTCTTAAGCACCATGCCCCAGAGCTGGGGTCTGGGACATGATAGTGCTCTGGTTTCCAGACAGGGTCCAGGAGGCTTTTATGAAGGTGTTGCTTATTCAGTTATTGTGAGAATTTAGTGTGAACTCTGGGAGGCAATAGGAGCATAGCAAGATGGTCGGTTCTCATTAACCATTTCAAAACAGGTTATTCATAAAACTACTTAATTCTGGTTGATGGTAAAGAGGGTAGATGGCTCGTAAAACACACAAGGAAAATTTAGTATGTAACTCAACAAATATTCTGTTGATCTCTATATGTGGGTTTTAACTCAAGTTTCATAGTTGAATTTTAAAATAATAGTTTTGACATTCTTCAAAGCAAGAACTTTAAGATGTAGTTCTCAGATCATTCTGTGTCTGAGGCTGAGGCTCTCTTAGGTGAGAAGGCTGCTACCTTGAGCCCAGGTCAGCTCTGCCTTGTTGCTGAGGATTGCATGTTTCTGTGTGGTTTGAGAGAAGCTATTTTTCTTGGTTACTTACCTTCTGTGAAGGTAGAAGCTCTGAGTGTCACTACTTCGGGTGGAGAAAAGTTTAGTTTTTATTAACAGTTACTTCCTTGATAGTCCCAGTGAAGTATGTAAATAGGAACGCCCTCTTCCCCCAAAAAATTAAAAAAAATCATAAATTTTAAGGAAGGTCTAAATTTCTAATGAAGAGCTGAATTGGTCAAAAGACCATCTAAGAATAAGATTGATAGACATGGTGTGGTTCTTTAAATGAAAACAGAGTGGATGATGTGAGGCCACACGCTTGCATCTAGAGCAGTAACTGATTCCCTACTTTTACTGCAGGAGAGCAGCAGAGCAGTTCTGAAACACTGAGCTTTTAGGGCCCACTTACCAGTGAGTCTTTCATTTGTGTAATGTCAGTTGAAGTGGTGATCCCTGCAGGAAATCAGGAAGTGTCCACCACTGGAGCCAAGTTTCTAAGTTATGGTGGTGGTCTCACTTTGCTGTTTATTCCCCGAGAGTCCTCAGTCTGCAGGGAGGCATGCTTTCTCAGCTCAGGGCTGCCTCATTGTAATTAGAACAGCCTGGGTCTTGCTGGAGCCTTGATGAAGCAACCTGATCTTTGCATCAGAGCTGTGTGCTCAGAGGGAAGCAGGCTGTGCTTTCTGTGTGGAGAAACTCTTGGTTATTTAATTTTTCCAGTGTGTGTTCTCATAATTATGTCAAACATCCTTGTGTTTTAGTAACTGTTTCTATAATTGAGTAGTCACTGTAAAAAAAAAAACCTGAAATACTATTTTTACTGCAGAATGTCCACAGTGTGATTTCTTATGGAACATGTGCGTCTGTTTTCTGGATAAAGTCACCATGGTCATTTAATTGTATTTGTTCTTGGTATAACTGAAAAGGTTGGTTTGGCCTCTCCATACAGTGTTACCAAACAGTTGTTCTTCATGTAATTTTAATGTTCTCGACAGTACCACTTGAAAGCCACAGACATCATTGTTGCTTAATTACCCAACTTCAGATTGTACTGATTTGGAATAGTCAAGAAGATAAAAATACCTTTCCTTTAGGATTTTACAACATAGACCAAGAAATAAAGCTGGAAATTGGGACCAGGGTAATGAGTGGGACTGGCCTTTTAGTCTTCCCTTTTCTTTCTTAGAATGTGTATGTTCACTGTGTGTGCTTGTGTGTAGCTGTGTAGAGACAAGGAAAAGGATGCAGCCTAGTGAGGACTGAAAAAAAGGTCATACCAGCAAGGTCCCTACTGTTAGTTTTCTATGACTGAATGAATATAAGCCTGGCTGCACTTGGTTTCCTAGCACTGAACATTTGCTTAAGTCAAGGCAGATTATTTTGTTTGCTCTTTCATCCCTTTTCATATTTACTTTCTTCTTGTGCTCTAAAACTCTTGCCAATCCTTAACAAAACTGTGTTGTTGCCTTTTTAAATGTTAAAAGAATTTCAATACTGTCAACTGTAGTTTGCCTGGATAAAAATGTACAGTGTGTGTCAGAATATATCTGCTATTACTATTAATGCTTGGCTCTCATTTTCTGTTCCTCAGAGAGTTTGTTAAGATTTGAAATATACATTAACTGTGGAAAGCATACTTATTAGATTGTGGCTTTGGGAAAATGAGTGATATTTCTTGCTATTTATGGTTTTCTATTGAAACACAAAAGAAACAGGTAAGTTAATATCCCGTCCAAACAGAAAGGGAGAGAAAAAGTTTGAGGAGAAGAAGAATAAAGAACGTGAATGATCCAGAGTCTTAACTGTGTGACAGGAAGGTCCTAAGGTTTGACTAATCCCATGCCTCTGAGCAGGGTTTATGTTAGTGTGGGGCAGTTTGCGCGTATTCATACATCTTGAGACAAGACAGGCTCTTGAGTTGGCCTGCTTCTTCTGTTACTGTAATTATGACACGGAAATGTGATGTCCCGTGGAAATGCCAGTGTAGTGACGGATAGTGATTATCAATGTACCTGTTGTTCCCTGTGAAGGCTCAGAGGGTCCGCTGATGCTCCCTGACCCTTGACCTCTTGCACTCTTGTTTATTCCTGCCTGCAGAGGCGACAGGAAGAAGGGTATTACAGCCGCCTAGAAGCTGAGAGGCGCAGACAGCACGACGAGGCAGCACGCAGGTTGCTGGAGCCCGAAGATCCTGGGCTGAGCCGACCTCCACTTCCACGGGACTATGAGCCCCCATCCCTGTCCCCAGCACCCGGCGCCCCTCCTCCCCCACCTCAGCGAAACGCCTCCTACCTCAAAACACAGGTCCTCTCCCCAGATTCACTGTTCACTGCCAAGTTTGTTGCCTATGATGATGATGAGGAGGAGGACTGCGGCCCAGCAGGTCAGGATAAGTACCCCAGCACAAGAAAGTCTCATGAGCACCTTCCTCTTGCTGCCCTTAAGCCGCAGCAGCCACGCCCAGCCTCGGATGGCATCTTTCTCTCCAACTCATTCCAGCCACCCTTGGCCAAAGCCAACAGTACTGCTAACAAAGCAGGCCAGCCCCCACCCCCTCCAGGCAAACCGAGCTTCTACCATCCTGGCCACTGGAAAGGTAGAGGTAAAAGAGGAATTGGCGAATCAGACCTCTCTTGTCTTGATGATTGAGCCTGGGATCTCTGTACCCCTGCCACTTGGTACGGTACACTGAGACCATGCCTGTCTTGGCCTTGGGTATTACCTGATCACTCTAAGCATGTGATCTCCCTCTGCCTGTGATTGTGGTGTTCATGCTAATGCTCCGTTAATTTGTTCTTGGTATTCCAGTTCTCTTACACTTTAAGGCATTCTGTCTCTAATCACTGACAACAGTCAGTCCTCCACTGTTACCAAATTATTTCAAGTACTGTTGGTCTTGGCTTTTTTTCTATGTCTTCAAGTAATTCTTACCTTTGTTCAAGCAAGTGCCTTCTCAAACATACCAGTGTCTCTGAAGGCAGAGTGCCAGAGTATCACCTGCACTTTAACTTCATGCCATTTCCTGTGAGTAGAACATTTGCTTCTGTTCTTGAGGCCTATGCAGTGACTCACACCCTTTGTGGAGCCTTGGTTGGGTGTTACAACATCCACTGAATTGTTAACAGTACAGCTTCACTCCTAACACAGGCAGCCCTTGCCCACAGACCTTAATCTTGAAGTGTTTCCTCTGTCCTTCTTGCTTGTTCCACTCCCTTCATTATCTTGCTCTTTTGCACCTCATAGCATAGCACCCAAGCCTTTGTAGGCTTGAAGCTTTTGAGTGGGAGGAGGGGCTATAAATGACATAGCACAGAGGCCATTGCCCCCAGAATTGTAGCAAGCATTGAATTTATGCTCAGTTACATTCAGATTGAGGTATTAAACTTCCTTGGCCATATATGAAAGGGAAATTCTGGCATCAAGCATCCAGCAGTATAATTTTAGTGAATGTTGAGTGACCTTAAAATTCTGCTTGCCTTTTACACAAATACCAACTCAGCAGTTCTAAGAGAAGCCAAACTCTCTTAAGACTCAGTGGAGTTTATTTCCTGACAAAGAACTTGCCAGAATTCTGGTTTGTTTTTGTTTTTTATTTTCTCAAGACAGGGTTTCTCTGTCTCTTTGGAGCCTATCCTGGAAGTAGCTCTTGTAGACCAGGCTGGGCTCAGACTTACAGAGATCCGCCTGCCTCTGCTTCCCAAGTGCTGGGATTAAAGGCATACACTACCAACACCCAGCGCCAGAATTCTTTTTCCCACATGTATCAGACTTTAATCTGTTTTGGTATATAGTAGTATCATTAAGTCACTCTGAAAGCCATAAAGTCCAATTCTTTTATTAAATTTCTGTTATAAATGTTGAGAATTTGGTGCTTTTTCAAGGCATTTATAGAATAGCAGTAAATTTTGAAGAAGAATGTTACTGATCTTATATCAAATTATATGAACATTGGACAAATTTTATAGCTTCAGTATAGTTAGGAAACATAGTTGTCAGCTTTGGCCCTCAGTTATACCACTTACTTCATTTCACACTGGAGCCGCCTGCAGCACATGCAGCAACGTTCTGGCCTCGTCATCTCCTGCATGGGTTCTTTCTAGCCCTTTCTGTACTGAAGCGTGCCTCTGCAGGTGGGACTCGGCCTCTGCCAAGGGGTCACGTGAGATACAGAGCTTACGGAATTGAAATGATCAAGACTGAATTTCAGTGGCAATGTGTCTTTAAATGATGTTTATGCTTTCCTAGAGCTCTTTGGAAATTACTTATGATTGGCAATTTTGTACATACAGTCAGGTCAAAGTTTTAACATTATAGCAAACTCTAAACACTCTGGAAAATATGAACTGATTTTTGCCCATGGAAGAAGCCAGTGTCACTCTCAGCAAAGTGCAGAAGTACAAAACAGTGTTTTTACTAACAGACAAAGTTACTCATGTGGGCCATCATAGCTGGCTGTGGATTGCCAGGAGACTTTGTTGAAGATGACACACTCTGTAGTGACCTGGGAAGCCTAAACTTCAGGTGTTTTGAGGTTACTGTTTGAAGGCTACTTTGCTCTATCTGGATATATCCAAAACACTCTACCCATAGGCTCTTTATATGGAAGAAATTCCATTCTCCTGTCTCTAAAGAGGAGTATTTTAATGTAAAAACATGGTGTTAACTTTGTGGTCTGTTTAATCCAATCTTGTCCATGTTTGCCAAATATTCTGAGCCTTTTGTATTTTATTTTATTAGGAACTGGTTTCTTAGATGTGAATCTGTTTTTATTTTATGAGTGTTTTATCTGCATGTGTGTCTGTGTCACCAGGAAATTGAGATGGTTGTAAGCTTTCTTATGGGTGCTGGAAACCCAACCCTGGTCTTCTGCAAGGGCAGCAAGTACTCTTAAAAGAGCTGAACTCCCTCTCCAGCCCCCTTACTTTATCTTGTAATGTTACGTTGGATACTGTAACAGTACTGAGATACTATTTATTACAACATTATATAATTTGATACATGGTAAACCTTTATCTGTTTCATCTCTTGGCCAGAAGTCTTGGCAAATGTTGGCTAACTTGGGCATCAAGCTCAGCTGTGCTTTCTTGGCCAGGATAGACATAATGCACACAGGACCAGTCTGACTCTGCCCTCACAGACGCTATGTGCACAGGACCAGTCTGACTCTGCCCTCACATTTCGTTTCGTTGGAATTTTTTTTTTTTAGCAGCAGCACTAATGTGGAATACTAGAAATTTTATTCTAGTTTGGTTTTGGTAACTTATTTGTTTCAAAGGCTTTATTTTGCTTTTAATAATTACACCTATCTTGAAGAAATCTAGTAGTTATCCTATACAAAGGAATTTTAATCATAGATGTAGGTTTCACTCTTAAACTTTAGGGTTACATTTGTTCTCAGTGATTGTGTCTGAAAACTTGTGGGGCTGCAGAGATGGCTTGGGTTAAGAGTACTGTCTGCTCTTCCAGAGGTCCTTAGTTCAATCCCAGCAACTGCATGGTGGCTCATAATCACCTATAGTAGGATCTGATACCCTTTTCTGGCATTCAGGTATACATGTAGAACACTCACACATAAAATAAAAATAAATACAATTTTCACAAAAAAATTTAATAAGCAAAACTCCTACAGTTCATGGGAGTATGTCTAAAATATTTCGTTTACTTCCCACTTAAGTTTTATGTGGGTTTGTCTTCTGTATTTGTGGTTATTGAACCATGTGCTGACTTGAGGTATTTTATTATTTTGATTTGTTTTTTTAAAGGCTGTGTCGCAGTTTTTCCATCTAAGAACAAAAGGCCTAATGTCAGTTAATGGATATGGTGGTGATTGGATTACTGGGCCCCTGAGAGTAGTGAGTTCTAACTGGTGAATCTTTGAGCATATGAAGAGCCTTTGACTTCTTGTTTTCTCAGTAATTGAAGGAGGTTTATTTTCCTGCAGACACTCAATGATGAGTAAAGTTTTAGAGAGAATAACTTTAACTTGGCCTTTTTTTTTTTTTTTCCTGGAAAAGGACCGCACTCTTCTTACATGGGATCTGCAGGAACAACCTTGGGAGCCCATGATGCTTCCCGGGACCCAAGAGAGAAGCACACGAGAAGGTACTTAAGGGCTGGGCTGAGCTGGATCTGACCTGTGCTGGTTTATTCTCATATTCTTGTCCTTGTTATTCGTGTCAGAGTTCATCAGGCATTCTGGTGTTTTTACTGTACAACATGTGAGAATGTAGGGTCCGTACCCCCCACCACCACCGACAGGGTCTGTCTCTATAGTCTCTGTAGGTCTAGAACTTACTGTGTAGCCAGGCTGTCTCAAACTTGTGGTAGTCCCAGTGCCTCAGATTCCCTAGTTCTGTGATTATAGGTGTGAGTCCCCACACTTGTATGTGCAGACCTTTTTAAAGTTGGTGTTGCTAGCATGCTTCTGTTTGGGGTGGATCCTGGACCTGCCTGCTACACGATGGAAATGCTAGAGGCGTGAAGGCCAGGCCTGTCAGCCAGCTTGTAGCCACAGTCTGATTTCTTCTGGAATTGAGCTGGACATCTGGTCGTCCTAGATGTCCTCCGCCCTGCTAACAGTGCTGGTCCGTCTCTTAGTATTAGACTGGGCGGGTCTGTAATGCCTCTCAAGTACATGGAACGTTTGTGGAGATGCAGTGTTTTTAAACTGGATCCCCATTAACTAAACCTGTTTAGGTGGCAAGAAATGCTTGCTTGCTGAAATTGAACTCATTGAGTTTGTTTTTTTCCCCCATTTTTAGTGTGGATGGGTGGCACCAGGCATACAGGCATGTCTGTGTGTGTGTGTGTGTGCCACATGTTTGCATGTATGTGGGTGCATGTGGAGGCTTCCGATTGACAGGAATCATCCTTAAATCATTCTTACTTTACTCATTGAGACAGAGTTGTCTCATCAGTATGGTTAGTCTTGCTAACATGCTGGCTCTGGAAATCCCGTCTCTTCCTTCTGAAGCTATAATTACTGGCTAGCTGCCATGTATTCCTGGTATTTATGTGATCTCTGGTTAACTGAGCCATCCCTAGTTTCCTTACTCGTTTTTGAAAGTTACTATGTTACGTGAAGAGACTATTTTGCCCCTTTTCTACATGGGTATATTTATTTATTACTGTATTGGGAATTTTGTTGTTGTTGTTGTTTAAGTTGAAGTCATAACTGTTGACCCAGGTTAATGTCTCTGTCCTCTTTGTTCATTTAAATTTAACTATATGAGCATATATTGGCTTTTAAAGCTTCGTTTGGACTGCAGTGTAGGTGTAGTTTGTCTCAGCCTCAACACACGTAATTACAGCAGTGTGCAACAATGAACACGTCTCACTGAAACTTTATGATCCTTATGAAAGCTTACTTAAAGACTAGGTACTTGTATTTTGATGCATAATCGTTTGTGTTTTCTTCTTGTCCAGCCAAGAAGCAGACTCACCTGGCAGTTCTGGAGCCCCTGAAAACCTGACATTTAAAGAGCGTCAGCGCCTCTTTTCACAAGGTCAAGATGTGTCTGACAAAGTAAAAGCTTCTCGTAAATTAACAGAACTTGAGAATGAGCTGAACACCAAGTGAGAAGAGAAAGAGAGCACCTTGTGCTCACACAAGATCTGCCCTTGGCAGTGGTTTTGTGGGGTTGAGCCTGAGGAGGAGGGAACAGTTCTATTTTCTAAGTGATTTCTAATTTCTGTTTCTAAAATGGTTTCAAGTTAGAGATGTTCCAATTTAAAATCTTGTTTTACTTTTCCAAGAAAATCTTGCCTAGTTCTTACTGATTGACTCACATGAAGTTATCTTTTTTTTGTTAGCTTCTTTGGGGAGTCTTGGACTCAGAGGGCAAAATGAAGGGCAGTAAAGACCATAGGGTATTTCCTCTACCCTCTTCTTTCCCATCATCATTCCAAGGACCGTAGGCCGAGAAATTATCTTCTGTTCTTTCTCACAACTCCACTTGACTACCAGACAGTTACTGTGTTCTGGTGGAACCTGTGTTTCGGAGACAGGACTCTCAGCGTAGAGCCACCTCCTCTCAAGCCCCAGGGCAAGTGTGTCTCCATTGCACCTGCTATAGTGTGCATTAGGTGGCTAGACGGAGTTTCTTATCTGTAAGGTGCACAACACATCATTCTTGACCAATGTGAGCCACCTGGTCAATCCTAAATGTTGAGATTGAGTTTCTAATTAATAATTCAATTTTGAAAAATCTCAAATTTTTAAAGATTTAATCTTAGGGAATTTATTTTTATAAATACCAAATCATCATTAGACTGATCATTGGTGAAAATTAAAGATGGTGGTTATGTTAGGAAGTTACCTAGTATTTCAGATATTCCAAAGAATCTAGAGCTCTCTAGCTAAACGGCGTTTGTGTAGGTAGGAGCGAAGACATCTGAGAAGAGTGGGAGCTCACAGGTGGCAATCAAACGTAACTATCAGAAATTTTAAATTTAGTAAAGAAAGATTTGTATAGGTATTCTGTCAGAAAAGGGAGGAAGTGGTTACTGTGCCATCTAAACTTAAATTCTGTAAGAATAACGTGTGGTAGCTCAAATCTACATTTCTTTCACAGCTTAATAGAGTTGCTTAAATTTAATTTGTGAATTTGTGTTGTCATTCCTCCAGCTGAGTTGTGGGAGAAAAACATGAGTTTATTTTTGCAAGTTTTATGATTTCAAGCACACTTCCTATTTAACAAAGCCCTAATGTGGGTCCAGATTATCTTTCTGGACCTTACTATTCTCTTACATAACTGTACGTTAGGAAAATAGGCACACTTTCAAATAGAGCAGAGGCATTTGCAACCCTAAAAACTTTTAGTAAGAACTGTATAATAAATTGTTGAAATAAAAATGTAAATATTTTTTATGTCTATCAAGCTTCCTATTTGAAAGTGTGCCTTTGTGTTTCCTCTGTAAGAGAATTGGATGGTCCTGAGAGTTAGTGAAGGATGTGCACACTTGCCCTGCCTAGGAAGTGCAATCTCCTTGTGTCTGGAGCACTGGCAACCTTTGGGTGGCATATCCATACCTCCCAGAGAAAAGCAGATACCTGCTGTTGCTCGTCCATGGGAAGACAGATGCACACCAGAGCCTGCAAACATCTGAAAACTCTGCATGTGTGTTTGTGGAACCCATAGTGAAATAGACTTGGCCCTCCCTGGACAGTAAGATCCAATGTGAATATGTGTTGTAAGAGCACGTTACATAGCGTGTGTTACTGTGGGGAAGCACCCAAACTGCTGTTGTTTTCCATTTCTACTGTATTTCAGTTGCAGCCTATTTTTAATAAACTTTGTATCTATTTAAGTGTATTTGCTATTGTTTTCAAAGTGCTGACAAAGTTTATATTTGTAATGCCAGCCTTCCTCTCTCCCATTTCCATCTGTCACTACTTCATTAAACAATGCTGAGTGTCACTCCTGCGTCCCTCAGTTGTTTTTCTGTGTACGGAAGTGCTCTTTGATTGATTACACAACCAGCTAAGGACTAAGGTGGCCTTCTGTTCATGACCAGGGCTTGTGCTTAGGACCACGTCTCAAGTTACTGGACTCCTTGAACATTCTCAGTGATTAAGCACATTGCATAAAAAGTATCCTGGTCATGCACATTTCAGGCATAAGAACCCACTCGAGATGACTGGAATGATGGTATGGTTTACTGTCGTGGTACAAGGAATACTTGCTAATTCTAGCAGGCTGAAAGCAAATGCTGCGGCTACCATTACATCAGCGCTGGGGCAGTGCAGCATCCACATCCAGGGTCTCGGTGAAATGGACGAGGGAGTGGGGAGTTACTGGCAAAGGATATGAAATCTCAGATGAAAGGGGAATAACTTTGAATTCTGGTACATGGTAAAGTATTACAGTCAGCAGTGTGCTGCGAAAATGCAAAAAAAAACTTGAAGGAAGGCATGTTTGAGGGTTGAAGGGACTTGTGGGGAACCTTTTAGGTAAAACCAGAATTTATATATTGGAATTATAATGTTTGTGTATACTACATTTAATTCGCTGTGCTTTTAGATTCTGTAGAGACACTTAGAAACAGAGTCAGTGCTGACTCAGCACCTCTTCTCCTATGATCCCCTCCCTCTCAGGGAAGTTGTGGTTTTGGCCTACAGTGTTGTCTGTTGTTTCTAACACTTCATAAGAACATCTCCTAAAGTAAAAAGTTTTTCTCTTTGCTCTCCCAGGTAATAAGGTGATTTCAGGTGTATTTATGCATTTCTGATAAGATTAAACAAAATGTAAGTTGCTTGACTTGGCAGGAGAATTTTTGCACTCCTAGTGACGGGATTTTATTCCTACAGTATTTCAACCTGCTTACTCACCAATGTGGGAACATCAGTGCCAGTCCTGAGATTCCCTGCTACTTGTTAAGCAGTATACCCTGCGTTCCTAGGCAAGCTGTGTGCACAGATGGGGTCAGGGGTGAGAAGGCAGAAGCAGACCACTTGTGTGTAATTAGGTGTTAATCGTATGAGAAATGAACAGGTCTGTGGGGGCTGACCTTTTAGGGATGGTCTCTCTTGAGATGGTACGTACGGAATGCATCAGGGAGAGAGGCAGGACCAGAAAGGGCTGGGAAGAGATGTAGGTGAAATAGGTTTTCAGGCCATGGTAAGGTTATTTATATTCTACAAGTATTGTAGTGATCCCTCTCTTTCAAAGGAAGAGCAACGCCCAAGGTTCTATGAGCTATGAGCCAGTAAGCCGTACCCAAGAGAAACTTGTAGGTAGGTACGGCGCATGCGCAGAAGCCATCAGGGAACTATCCCGTGACTTAACCACGCCCTTCACTCGCTGCCTTTTGCAAAGAGGCCGGGAAATGCCAGGGAAATTTATGCCGTGGGACTTCTCAGAACAGAGGTTGCGACAGCTTCAACATCAAATGCGGGTGAGTCTGAGTGGAGCTTCGAGTTTGAAACCACGCCTCCCAGGGCTGTGGGGGACCTTGGAGAACCGGGGTTGTCTTGATAATCACTCAGAGTTGTGAATCCCACCTTGAGCCCTCTCAGAAAGGAGAAGGAGACCAACTCTTATCTGCCTTGTGCTTTCAGCATCCAGAAGCCAAGGATGACTGGCCTGTTTTCTCCCAACTGCCCTTAAGGCCCTTCCTTCAACTCCCACGCGAGGCCTCCCTGACCTCTCAGCGGACCCTTCAGTCCATCTCGGTGTCTCCTAACCTGGCACCTTCTTCAGCTCTGTTGAGCATCTATGAGCTGAGCAAGTCTGGGGACTAAATAGTTACCCAGCAGAAATTATATAATCCTAACTGTTGCCCTCTTCGAGCACACAGCAGAACAAATAGATCGGTAAAGTAAACAAAAATATAAATACCATGCTGAGCAGAGATCCCGAACCTTACAAAGTCAATAATCAACCCCGCAAAATTTGAGAGTACACGGGTGGTCTGTAGGGATCTGAAACTCCTATTGCACAGTGAAATCTGAGGGCTTAGAAGAGCGAGGTCTCTGCAGAGAGTGTTATGTGGCCAGCCAGGCCTTGGTGGTACACTAGAAGCAACATAGAGGCTGAGGGAAATGACAGTTTCCTGGGTGGTAGTGGTGCAAACCTTTAATACCAGCACTTGGGAGTCAGAGACAAGCAGATTTCTGAGTTTAAGGCCAGCCTGGTCTATAGAGAGAGTTCCAGGACAGCTGGGGCTACACAGAGAAACCCTGTCTCAAAAACAAAAAAACAAAAAAAAAAAGCAAGCAAGCAAAGTGACATGCTATAGCAGGTAGTGGTTCCTGGCCAGAGAGACACAGCTGGCTGCATAAGCTACACCTTGAAGGGCAAGGCTTCCAGGGTAAAAGATGAGGAGCTCAAGGAACTGGTGAGAGCTACAGGCAGCATTTCAGATCTTTGTGAATTTGCTGAAAAGTGCACATTGAAGGAGGAAGCATTTGTTACAGCAAAAAGTGCTAAATTTTTTGAGGGTAGCACATTTTCTCCTTCCATCCAAATCCCAGCTCAACTCAAGCTTCATCCTGGGGCCCTGTGCCTCAGCACCCAACTCATGACCCTTTATCTCACCATGAGGAAAAGTACTTCTCACCAATCCAACACTGGGGCAAGGTGAGTGTGTGGGCTCCAATCACAGTCTGAGATGTAGTGTTTACCCCACCACAGTTGTGGTGTACAGGCTGCACAGAAAGCTAAAAGGCAAGCGAGAAGCTCAGAGGTGGCTCAAGCCTTGCTGGTGAGGTGATCCATGAGTAAGGGTCGATTAGAGCTCTCACAGGAGAGGTGGGTCTGCAGCAGTGGGTTGCAGGCTCACGTGCACACAAGAATGTGTATTTCACTCATGGAGGACTGCCGCCTCAACTGTGCAGAGGTTTCTGTGTGCGGCCAGAAATCTCCTTGGTTTGCAGGTAGCTGCTTCCCCATGGTGTCCTGGAGTCCGTTCAGAAGGACACCAATGAAATTACAAAAGAACCTACCCTCAATGCTTTGAATCATTTCTCTTGTAGGCACTGTCTTCAAATGTTTCCTGCTGAGATACCTACTGGGACTTATACTTCACCATATGATTGGGGGGGTGTGGTTACAGTCCATAACAAGCCACAGGATACACCATGGTCTAGCAGAGACACTGGGGAGACCTAGGGTCAGAGCAAACCTGAAAGGATTGTCCTCACAGACTGCTCTTAGCCCCATTCTGATTGGCCCAGACTTGGGAATACTTGTGTCCCAGGTTCATGGTGAACACATCTGACTGGCACTGCTGCACAGCATTGTCCTCGTAGAATAATAGCTCGATCATTTAGGGACAAAAACTAGGAAAAGACATTGTATCAGAAGGAAAACAAAGCAGTCTCCTTGCAGATGGAACCATATTATAGGTATGGTTCTAAGGAATATGCTAAAACCTTTTACATTAAAAAGTGAGTTATACAAGACCAAAGAACCTAGCATCCATCTGCAGAAATAAATGGCATTTCTGTGTTCTAGATGAACACAAGTAAAATTAGGAAAACATTCCATGTGCAATACCATACAAAAGAATCAAAATATTTTGAAATAAATTTGACCAAACACATACCAGACGTATAACTGCAGCTGCTATTACAGTTTGAAGTCTATAAATTAAGTAAATTTCATCAAAACATTCCAGAGATTTTTCATAATGAAATAAAGAAATTTAGCAGTTAATGCAATGTAAGTCCTAGGTTTTGGATTTATATAGTCACAGTTACATAAAATATTTTATCTTTAATGATAATAGATTCTTCGTGAGCTGATTTAGAGAGTGGTTCTCTAACAGGAGGGACAGCATCTCCGTCTGGAAACTGAAGTCTCTGCAAGAGAGACTGCATCTAGCAAAAATGACTAGACCTATGAAAGGAATGATCGAATCTCCTGCAGGAATGATGGGATCCCTAGAAAGGGGGACTTAATTTATTCTCTGTGGAGGCTGGAGCACCAGCAGGGTACCAATCTTTAATTTCAGAGACTGTATGTTCAGTAGGTTGGACTGAGTTTCCGGGAATGATACATCCCAGTAAGACGGCCACACCTGGACCAGTCGTATGTGGGAGTTAAACATGCACTTTATAGTGGTCCATGCTCTACCTTCCTTCCAGAGTTCAACCTCTGTTCACCTTCTCCTTGACCTTCCAAGACTACCCACCTCTCTCTCTCTTTTCTCTCTCTCTCTCTCCTCTCTCTCTCTCTCTCTCTCTGTCTGTCTCACACACACACACATACACACACTTGATGTTGAGGGTTGGGGTTTTTATTTTATGTATATGTAATAATAAAATATGTATATACATTGAGCATACATATATAATTTTACATATAATTTAATTTTATATAATATAAATACATATACATAATTTTTTCTTTTGGTTTTTTGAGACAGGGTTTTTCTGCGTAGCCCTGACTGTCCTGGAGCTCACTCTGTAGACCAGGCCAGCCTTAAACTCACAGAGATCGGCCTGCCTCTGCCTCTTGAGTGCTGGGATTAAAGGTGTGAGTCACCACTGCCTGGCTGTTTTTGTTTTTTGAAGGCAGACTGATTTTATGGCTTCCTCTGTAAACTCTCCACTTCCCAGCAATGCTCTCTGATACCTTTCTGACCAAAGGATAAAGTGTGGAGTTTTGCCTTCCTAGTAAGTCCATGGGGCTGCTGCTGATAGTGTCAGGACTGCCTTGGTAGGGCGAGCCCTGAACCATGGGGTGTGGGTGGGAGAGCAGGCCAGGCCTTCCTGAGGTGGACTCGTCTCGGCGGCATGTGAAGGAGCTGAGCAATCTGACGGCCGACCTTCCTGGCAGTTCTTTGCTGGGACTGTTCCTGCTCTTTCTTGTGCTCTCTGTGCATTCACAGTATTTCAGTGTGACCAAGCAAGCACTGTGTTGATAGGCTTTCTGTTTGGATCCTTGGTTGTAGGTCAAAGAAGAAAGAATAGCTGAACTGGAAACAGAAAATGCTATTCTGCACCTGAAATTGTCAGAGGTAACATTTTAATGTGTCTTGTACACTGATAGACCAACGTACCCAGCATGAGTAGTGTTTGGAGTCAGCTCCTGTACATGCGACTTTCATTTGATCTTTTGTCCCATTCAGTGAGGTAGAATGAATTCTCCAGGTGACACTTAGCATGTCGTCCAATGCTTGAACAGGAATGAATTCTAAATTATTTATCTTGGTGCTCACAAATATATAAGGAATAATCCATTAATGATATGCCCAGCAGCTGTTTCTTAGTAGATGCGTTGTATAATATATGCATCATGAAGTCCACATTAAGTTGTACAATTCAGTGTTTACTAAGTCTGCAGATATACAACTGCTACAGTCTTTATGTCGCTGGAACAAAATACCTGAGACTCCATATCATTTACAAAGAACATTTATTACTTTCAGCTTTGGAGTCCAAAATTAAGGCACTGCAGGTTTGATGTCTGTGGCCAGCTCATTTTTCTAATTGGCACTGCCTAGATGTCCTCATGTGGTAGAGGGGATGAGCAAATAGCTGTCTAGCCTTGTTCATTTATGAGGGTAGAGTCTTCATGATTTCACCACCCCCTTCAAATACCCCACCTTTATATCACCGCAGTGGACATAGTCAGCGTGAGTCTTGGACGGGCTCTGTAGCCCCTAATCAAGCTGTGGAACTTGTTCCTAAGGCCCCCTCTTCAGTTTCCCTTACAGCCTTTTTACTTCTGAACAGCTCCACACCAATCCAGCAGACAGACCTGACCCAGCCACAGCCCTTCATTCTGTCTACAACACATTGCTGGGCATCCCCAGGGGCACCTTTTGCTCGCTTCCATCCTATTTGAGGGAGCTTATCTGCTCTCAGGGACTGAGCCAGAAACTAGAAGTTTGTGTTGGACAGGGCCCTTCCATAGGAGTTCAGACATTGTCTCCATCACAGGATGTGAGCTCTTGGCTGGGGTGAGCACAGGTGCGGTTTCACTGAGATGTGTGGCTGGTGTCTGTGAGAGGCTGGGCCTGCCAGCATCCACTGCTTATAAAGACAATGTAAGGAGAAACCCCACCCCCAAACACACAGGAAAGCAACAAAATGAGGCAGAACCCACAGTCATCACCTTTTTCGTTTGGGGTTTCTCTGACACTGCGGAAGTCAGTGTAGAAGTCTGGCCAGCCCTGCGAGCATCTCTGCTGTCTGGTCAGCCCTGTCTTGTCCTGGAGCCTGGATATTTTCTCTGTCCTCCATAAGTCTTAGATGCTCCCTCTAGCACTCCATAGGGAATACTTTCTGTTCCCCCCCCCCCCCCGCAATGCTCCACAGAAATCCAGAAGGATCTTTTTTTAGATGTGTGTCTGTTGAAAAGCCTTCCTGTTGAAAGCCTTCCCTGGGTTTGGCACTGCCCTCGAGTGAATGCCCAAGCCCTTGGCCTCTCTGCAGGTTGGCACTCCTTCTCCTGTCACTTCTCTTCCGAGGTCTGTCACTCACAGCCTTGGCTTGGGCTTTGTCTGTCCCTTCTACCTGGCCAGTGCCTCCTGGCCTAGCCCCAAGACTCCCAACCCTGAACTGTCCACGCTCCTGGGATTCCTTTCCTGACTCTCCCCACTCTAGTTTAAGCTCTATTGGCATCTCTCTTCCTGTGTAGTGTATATCATGGGCTATCAGTAATTTTCTTCTCTTGGGGGAAGGTACCTGCTGTGTTTTCCAGGTTTTAAAACGTTATACTTTATTTTCTTTCTTTCTGTACAGTACCAGGAAAGGATGAACAGGAGCAGGCGTGAGGCCTGGCATGATGCTCTGCTCAGAACAAGGCAGTGTCAGCAGGGAAGCATCCACGCAGCCTTCCTCCAGCTTGGCTGCCTGACTAGGGCAGAAGTGACCTTAGCACTGCCAAAATCACCATGTATGCACGGAATGCTGAGTGGTGTAGGGCTTAGGAGAGCGCGTGTGTCAGAAGAGGCTCAGCACAGGTGTCTCCAAGGGGTTCAGCTCCCCTGCTCAGGAAAGGAAGCCTACAGCACTGTTAGCATCTGAAAGAAGATGAGATATGAGTAGCTTTGGGCCAATAGACAAATTACTTGAGATGGCGACAGTGGAGGCTAAGTCTCCTAAGTCACAGTTGTTCTTTTACCTGCAAGTCTGTCTATGTGCCATATGTGTGCTTTTGCCCTCGGGGGAAAGAGGGCATCCAGTCTCCTGAGATTGTGGTTACAGTTATGTGAGTGCTGGCAACTGAACCCCGAGTGATTGTTACCTGCTCAGCTATCTCTCCAGCCCCCACAGTGGTTATTTTAAAGTTTAGTGCTAGAAAGTGTTTGTAATAAGGTAAGTATCCCATGCCCCAGTATCTTCTACGAGCTGCCCTTAGACTTTCAGTGGCTTCTGAGGGAAAAATCAGGAAAGCAGCTATCTCACTTAGAATAGTTGGCAAGTCTCCAGTGTGAGACTGTGGTAGATATTTTTATACCATTGATTAAAAACATTGTTCTACCTTATGTTAAAACAATGTGACCAGGATGGGAAACAGGAAAAAAACAAAACAAACAAAAAAAAATCCGTCTGCAAACAGGATTAACCTTCCATGGTCAGATGTGAAGGTTTAAGCTGTGTCTGTTCAGAAGAGGTTCGTGCAGCACTCACAAACTCTCCCCCGCCTTAAGAAAGCCAGCCTATCTTTGAATGAGCTACACAGTTATCTATGCTTTATATGATAAAGCACCTTGATTCAGCTTAGCCTTGCCATTTTTATTTCTGTTCATGAAACTCCATTATTCATAACTAAAGAGAAAACCATATGGTAGGCTCACATAACATGTTGTCATGAATTATTGAGAGTGAATACTAAACCACACACATCCTTTCATCAGCTCATCGTCAAATCATCACACTGAAGGTCCTTGGGATCACAGCTGGGGTTGGACGGGGAATGTGTGACGTGACGCACAGGATATTAGCTGCATTGTTCCCAAAGTTCCCTGAAAACTCGGACGCAGGCTGTTCCTGGAACTCTATCACGCACATAGATATGGCAATTGCTTCTTCCTGGCCCGAGTTCATGGTAATGAAACCTCCAGAAGTTGGTCTGGACAGCCCATCAGAGCTTTGCTCTTGCTTCACATAGCCCCAGTGCTCCACCAAAATGATGAGGTTGTTAAATGGGTCAGATGTCCATGCACAGTGAGCTGTATTACAGAGACTGGTCATATAACTGGGGTTTATATTTCCTAGGAACCTTAATAATATGGAATATATGAAATCGTGAGCTGCTCTCAAAGCACTATTTTGAGTTAGAATTTTTGGAGGGAGCTGGGGCAATGGTGACGCATACCTTAAATCCCAGTACTTGGGAGGCAGAGGCAAGCAGATTTTTGTGAGTTCAAGGCCAGCCTGGTCTACAAAGAGAGTTCCAGGACAACCTGGGCTGTTACACAGAGAAACCCTGTCTCAAAACAAACAAATGAAAAAAACAAACAACAACAAAAAAACCCAAAAAACCTAAAAGAACTTCTGAAGGGAATTGTGGTGAATACTCACCCTGCATATTTGACGAAGAACCACTGCCTTACATGCCCCTAGTTCATAGTAGGTCACTTCAGGATTGCTGGCTGTCAGCCGCTTCTGTATCCCATGAACTTTTGTGGTCGGTTGTACAGTTAGACTGTAGTGGCTGATAGTGGCATGATCAGTCGTGCTAACTGTGCTTTGCTTACACAGAAGCTTCAACAAGATGTCAAGGAGTTTCGGAATTCCTTCCTGGTGCTCTTACAAAGCTGTCAGGTGGAGCACCAGAGCTGCCTTTCTGACGTCACGGCTGTTGTGCAGAGGGCAGAGCTGAGTGGCGAGGCTCTTCGAGGTGAGAGCATGGCCCAGTACACACTGAGAAACCTCTGTGGATGGTGCCCAGCCTGGGGCCCCAGCCCCGTCTCTTTTTACTCCTAGCATATGCTAAGTGATGGCAGTGACAGATGCTGTGCCACTCACACCATGATGAGATGCCCCTCCCGTGTTTGATGGTCTGCCTACCTGCCCTGTAGCTTGCCTCTTCCCCTCCGACACCCAGTGCCATGCAGTCCACACCTGTGACAAGCCCTAAGCTGATCATCATGCTGTTATTTTAAGAGTGCATCAAAACGTACAGCTGCTTACTGCTTTGTGGTTAGGCTAACATCTTAGTTTAGATAGCGATTGCCCTGGGATCTCACGGTAGTCTCCATAGGACAGTTCATTTCATTTCAGAAGCCTCCTGGCGGTTCCTGTATACATATGTATGATCAGTATGTTTGCATACATGTGCACATGTGTGTGGTATATGTGTATATATTACGTGTATATGTGTAGTTTATAGCATATTCATGTGTGTGGTTGTATTATGATGTCATATATGTACATATGCTCGTGTATGGTGCATGTGCATGATGAGTACATGTAGAGTATCTGGTCTGTGTTCATGGATAGTATGTGTAGCATGTGTATAGTACACGTGTATGGTCTTCACTTGCATGCTGCATGGGAAGAGTCAATCATCCTTCCCAGGAGGAACAGGAGCAAATCATGACAAACTAAAGGGAAGAATGGAATGTAGAGCAACTGGCTTCTCCCTAGGAAATGCTGATATGCGCGTGTGATGATTTTATGGCCATCAATCACTACCCACAGGAGCGCTGTGCATCATGCTGTGCCTGGGAAATGCAGCCAGGAAGGCATCCCAGGCTGTTGTTCCTCATGTTGCCAGAAGGTCCTCGTCGACTGAGACAGCATGTCCCCTTCACCAACATCCCTTGCTCAAGCAGCCCTACTCCATAACTCTGACAGGAAAGCAGTCACAGGCCGAGGAAGATGAGAGCTTCCAGCTGTGAGCCAAGCTGAAGAGTGTCTGTGTAGATTGCTCAGGGTAGAGCTTCTCACCTATGCTGTGTCGGAGACAGGCACCAGGAGTCTGTGTGAAGCAATGTGGGTCTTCCTGTAAAAGATGGGGTCATCCTGTAGGACAGAGAGTGCTGGGTCCCAAGATGTGTAGTAAGAGCCAGAAGTCAGACCAACTTCTGCCACGTGTCCTTGTCGCACACAGAGGGGGCGGCCTCATGGAAGCCTTTATAACCTGAGCAAGCTCAAGCTGGAGACATGTCAGCCCTCAGTGGGTGGTCATTATACCAGGACTCCTTGAGAATCACTAGTTACCATGAGCATTGAGCACCCAGAACTCAGTTGGAGAACCCACTGTGGCCCACAGCCTACCCTGCCCCCCAGCCTCCTTATGATTTATACTTTTCTTGGCTAGGAGACCACAGAGTCTCCTCCTGAGAACTGGACTGTAACCTGGGGTGACCTGTTCCTGCAGCTTGTCAGTCGGAGGCTACACACCTACAGCAGTGCTTGCAGGAACTGGAGTCACGCTACCACTTGGAGCAGCAGAGGAGGAGGACCCTCCATAACAGCCTGGTGGTGAGTGCCTGCGTTGCCAACACAGTGGATCAGCAACTCAGAATATGCCCAAGGATGAGCATGAGGCCTCACCTGAGTGACAGCTGACCGAAATTGCTAGAACCCCATAGGAATGCTCGGGGGCAGGAGTCACAGCTCAAGGTAGGGCAGAGGAAGTGAGAGTACGCCAGAAATTGTCAGTTAGGATCAAACATCCTCTCCACTGAGAAGCCACTGGCCACCCTGCTCAGCCAAGAAGCAGTGATGGAGGGAAAGAGGTTCACCAGAGTATTGGGGTTAAGAGCACCGGTAGCTGTGGTCTCTGTTGGTAATGTTGGTAATTGGCAACATCTGAGACTGACAGTTAAGCTGATGAGGTGTGGGACAGGTGAGTAGGGGATAACTTTTTCAGGATATCAGAACCCCAGGGTCCCTGGGGTCTTGCTCTGTCTCCCTCAACCACAGAAGAGCCTGCAAGGATCTCTTGTCTTCCAAAGAGGCGTAAGACCTGAGGTCCCTTGGAAGACCAGCAGTTCAAACTCAGTCCTCCACATACTAACATGAGCAGCTAAGGTCCGTAATTCATCTGGCCAACTTTTCAAAGGTGTGACTTCTATGGTGTGTTTTGCTTAGTGTCTCTGAACCCCAGTTACTAATTTCCCAAAGCCTGTGTGTCGGCCTCTGGTGACACAGCTCCCGCAGTCCTTGAGAACATATGCTTACCTGTTTCAGTACTTAGGACACTGGCCTTAGAGGACAGTTTCCGGGTACTTGTGTAATAAGCATTAGCTAAAGTATTTTAAGGAATTTTCTCTTTTTTAAAAACACTTTTTTATTGAAAATTTCTTTTCTTGTATCATATTTCTGATCATGTTTTTTCCCTTCCCCAAACCCTCCCAGGTCCTCCCTACCTTCCTACCTACCCAATATGTTCTCTTTCTCTCTCTTAAAAAGAAAAGCAGACTAAAACAACAACAAAACATGTAAGCAGAGACTGCTTGTTCATTTTCCGGCTGCTCAGACCTAAATAATCACATAGAAACTCTATTAATTACAACACTGTTCAGCCAATGACCGAGGCTTATTTCTAGCTAACTCTTATATCTTAAATTAACCCATTTCTATTAATCTGTGTCTCACCATGAGGCTGTGGCCTACAGGTAAGGTTCTAGCTGATGGCTGGCGTCTTTCTCCTTCAGCAGCATCTCTATGACCCAGCCTACTTTCTCTCTATTTCTCTGTTCAGATTTTCCACCTGGCTTTATCTACTAAGCCACTGGCCAAAACAATTTCTTTAATAACAAATAGTAATAAAACATATTCATACAGAGGGAAATCCCACATCAAAAAAACAAGTGTGTGTGTGTGTGCATACACACACACACACACACACACACACACACATACACACATTTTAATCTCCACAGCACTACTGGTTCTTAAGGGAAAAGTCCCCTGTTGTAGGAGGCCATTTGTTTGTTCCTGGCTGCCCAGACTCAAAATAATCACTCAAAAACTATATTATTTAAATCATTGTTTGGCCAATCACTTAAGCATATTGCTAGCTAGCTCTTATGTCTTTGGTTAACCCTTTTCTATTATTTTATATTTTACCACAAGGCTCGTGGCGTACCAGCTAGCTTCTAACTGGTAGCTTGTGTCTTTCTCCTCTGGAGGCTCCATGGTGTCTCATAATTCTGCCTTCTTTCTCCCTGCATGGTTTAATCTTAAGAAAAGTCACTCTACTGACTCAAATAACTCCAATTAAACCAGATTAGAACAAATTAAAATGCCCATGTTTAATAAATGCAGCACTCTTGGGTGGACCTAGACAGCATAGCAGGGAGAGGAGCCCACACAACCCCCCCCCCGGAGTAACCTGTGGTAGTGGTCCTGACCCTCCCCAGGGAGAGGTCAGCACTTGGCAGGCTGGGAGTTGGAGTTCAGACCAACTCAACTCCCAGGCCAGATGCTTCCAGTCATTCATCCCAGACTCCTTGGATATAGGGGTGTTAGAGGGCTGGAGTCTCTCTTTCAATCAAATACTCCCAACATTCAGTTTATTTTTCCCCGCCTAGCTCTACTCTACCCTATCACAGGCCAAGACAGTTTATTTATTCATTAACCAATAAAAGCAACACATATCCAGAAGGATGTCCCACACCATTCCCCTCCCTGGAGAATCTAACAAGACCTCATGAGAACAAGGCATTCCCACTTCTTTCCAGGTACTAAGGACAGGCAGATGCACAGAGCCTACTTGCAAGCATTTGGGGCAGTACTGTATGCCATACAAACAGACAGGTTCCAGATGTGCTGACCGGCTGTCTGAAGTATACCACCCACTGATCTCCTCAGTACCCAGCCAGAAATCTCACGAGAGAAGAGAGAAGGAACCTGGCCGTGTGTGGAGGGCTCTCCACAGTGTTCACAAATATCTACTAGACTCTTCCATGGCTTTGTGTATCATTATTTTCCTGATGCCTTTGGTATGAGAAGGCAAACTTCCCATAGCTGAGGATGATAGAAAGTTGAAAAGGATAAGACAGTGTTGATAGGCTGAGCCTGCTTTAGACACAGGAAGCCAGACAGGTGTGGGTGACAGATGTAGAAGAGCAAAGGGTCCCCATATCTGCGATGCACCCTGAGTCCCACACAGGTTCTGATAGTGATCATGTTTGAATCACTTTTGTATTCAGACTTTCTTTGTATTTCCAGTTCCCAAATAATGACACAGAGACTTCTTGTTAATTATAAAAGCATGGTCTTAGCTTAGGTTTGTTTACAACTACCCCTTAAGACTTAAATCAACCATTTATATTCATCTACACTCTGCCATGTGGCTCTTTGCCCCTCCTCCATTCTGTACGTCTGTGTCTCATTGGCAAAATCCCCAGTGCCTCAGATTCTTCCCAAATTCCTCTCTTCCTGAAAGTCCCACCTAGTCTCTCCTGTCTAGCTATTGGCCATTCAGCTCTTTATTAAACCAATTAGAAGGCACCTTAGACAGAGATACATCTCCACAGTATACAAAAAGATGTGGATATCATGAGGCCACCTTGATGACTTCCAGACAAATGCAGGCATTTCTGCTTTAGTTGTAGCATCTTGACTACTGAACTTCCCAAATGCTGACCGTTCCTTCCTCCCTACCCCCTTTCTAGCATGGTACCTATACTCTGCAAGTATATGGGTTTGCTGGGTCCCACCTCCTCTTCCTGGTCTCTCAGTTGCCTATACCCTTGTCCTACCTTGTTGAAGCATTCCAGGCCTGCTTTTCCATGTGAGCCTTTCCTACCACAGTTACTGCTGTGCTAATGGTCCTTGCATTTTCCTGAGTGTTTTTCTGTGGGTGTGTGTGTGGAGAGGTGAGGGGTGGAACCAAGGCTATCTGAAGGGAATTCAGTCTTTTGGTTACAGGATGCCTGGTTACCAGGTCTGTTGGGTCTAACTGGTTGTCTTCAGCTATGTGAGTCAGAGTTGACAAGCCAGGGAGGGCTCCAAGGGTTGTGCTAACTGGAGGCCTGCTGGGCTAGGAACCGCAGTGGTTTCATCAGAAGAAAGAAACCAACCAGACTCTGTGGGCTCTAGGCACCTCGGGACAGCAGTGGGTCTGAACTTAGTGAATGGCTAGAAAGCAGTGACGTCATGGCTGAGCTCAGGATGCTTTGGCTGCCTTGTAGAAGATGGATGGAATGCTTGAAGACAATCTCCCAGGTGTCAAAGACCCAACCAGGGTCTGGGGCACTGGTGCAGCCTGAGCGGCAGGCTCCTCAAGGTCAGCAGTATTTAAGACCAGCATTGAATGCTACGTCGACAGTATCCACAAAACAACCTAAATCTTACCTTTATCTGCTCCCTCTGACCTGGAGGAGGCTGTGTACTGTGAGCACAGGTCACTTCATTGTTGTGTTCTAGGTGGTAAATCGTCATGTCGTCTGGATAATCCCCTGGAGGGTCAGGGTACAAGTCGCAAGCCAAATTCTTGAAATTCCTCCTAAAATGCCGGAGAGAGTTAGCCCTTGATACCAGGAAATGGATTTTTGTTGCTACTTAAGGAACAAATCTGTTAAGGTTGAGTAGCACTGAGCTGGTGACCCTGTGGGAAGCTTCAGAGATCATGGCAGCCTGCTGCTGAGCCAGCCTCTGTGCTGTTGAAAGTTCTCTGTTGTTGTAGGAGCTGAAAGGAAACATCCGAGTCCACTGTCGCATCCGTCCCCCTGTGTCGGCTGATAAGGAGCTGGTTGGTTCGACTTCACAGAACTGGTAATATACTTTCACTTTCTGTCTGTGTATGGCTTGGGTCAGGGCTATTCCAACCCAAGGGAAGAGAAAGGCTTAGGATAGTGGCAGGAATTGCATGCCCCTGTGATCCCAGCCCTGTGCTTGGAGTAGCTCCTGATGCCTAAGTGAGGCTGTCTTTTGGGATGGCCCTCCCTGTGGGTGATGCAGGGCACCAGCAGTGAGAGCAGCTTTCAGTGTGGCCAGAATATCTATCTGCATAAGCGTATCCATTGGACTAAGCCTCTGTCCTGTCCAGTAGCAGGGTCCCACCCCATCTGGCCTCCCCTTCAGGTTGTACCAAAGGGGACATCCCTTCATCCTTCCTTCTAGAGACTGCTCTCATCAAGGCTAAGGAATGTCTAGTTGTGGTAGTTGATCCTTTTGACTTACAGGAGGTCTTGGTGGCGATAGTGTAAAACTAAATGAGTACTTGCTGACTGAGCTCAGCAGACATGCCCCGTGTCCCATATCCCATTCTCCTAAGAAGCCTCCTTCCTTCCATGTCTGCACCTGTTCTCTCACTCCTTTGTCCCCTATCCCTGGGCGATGCTGGTCCCCTCGGGTCTGCAGTAAGTGTCGACTCCCTGGCCTGCTCCATGCGTTGGATCCTGTTGTCCCATCCCATAACATCCTACTCTTCTGAGAGGCCTCACGGAGCCTTTTCTGTTTCTATTACACACTCTTAGTGTGACACATTGCATCTCTGTCCATGTGTGTGTGTGTGTGTATGTGTGTGTGTGTGTTGCACGTGTACATGTTTGTATAAGTGCATGCACACAGGCTGCAGCAGGGTACTGGGTACCCTCTTCTGTCATTCCTCATCCTGTTCTTTTGAGGTAGTGTTTCTCCTTGAGCTTGGAGCTTGACTTTTCATCTTGGTTGGCTCCCAGCGAGCCCCATGCATCCTCCTATCTTATCCCTAACGTGTTATAGATATGCAAGACCTGGACTGGCTAGTATGGGTGCTAGGATTCAAACACATGTCTTGAAGGAATATGGCCGAGACCCCAATATTGTCCCTATTTTCAGTGGTGGCAGAGATGTTTTCTTTTCAAGTCTTTCATTCTGCTAGCCATGGAGCAGAAGATGCTTTCACACCACTAGCCATGGCCATTTGTCCTAAGCTGCAGCTGGAGAAGAGCCGTGTCCTGTGAGACTTACAGTTCTGAAGAGCCGTGAGCTCTCCTGAAAGCGCCTTTCAAATCCTATTCACAGGCTTGCTTCTGTTACACTGCCCAGCTGTGCCCAGCTGTAGGATATAGCAATCACCCCCCCCCCAAATCTTTGGTCTAAATGGTGCAAACTGAGGCAATCAGAAGTGCTTTCTCAGTCACCCCACTGCATCCCACACTTCAGACGAAATGGCTGAGTAGTTCCGTTGCAGACACTTCCAGTATGGCTGGGTCAACAGGCTGTTCCTTTCCCTCCTAGGTCAGAACCTCCATGGACGCTCTGGTTGCTTATTCTCCTCCAATTTTTGTTCTGAAACATACCGATTTTTCAGGTTCCTGGTTCTTGTAGGCATTGGAGCTCCTGTAGGCACACAGTTTGACATTGCTTTCCTAATCATTCCTGTCCTAAAACTGGTGGGTGGCAGGGTGGGGGGAGCGTCACCTAGTGCGTGGATTGTAGCCCATAGCTGACCCACCCTCAGGTTACACACAGGAGGTGGGGATGTGAAAGGAAAGGTGGGGTGTATAACAGAGGTTCGGGGACCGAGCATCAGGGGAGAGCTCAGGAAGAAGTGGCTTACAATAGCGCTCTGATAACCGCTGTCTTGTCTCTGCAGCACCACCCCTGGAGAAGTGGTCCATGCTGTTGATGACGTAAGTAGTTCCTAGTGAGTGACATCAGAGATGCTGTCATTGCTGCATCACATCCCGGTGTCCTGGGCCCCCTACACTGGGAAGCATTGGTTTCATTCTTTGTGCCATGCTGACCAGTCTTGGCCTACTGGTTCAAAAGACCAAGAAAGCAAGTGCTAAGATTTCGGTCACTGAGAAAATATAAAAGCAGTGAAGTGAACTATGGACTTTACAATTCTGAATTTGAAGTAGGCCTGACTCTTTCTCCTTAATCTCCTCTAGTATCTTGGTTTATCTACAGACTTTGTGGTAGTAATGGGAGCCCAATACTCAACTATGGCTGGACATGTATCATGCTCATAGGTTGGGGAAGTCCTAGGTGACTGTGCTGGGCCCCTTGTATCCATGATAAAGGAGGTTTCACAGATGATAACCATGACTCAGCATGTAGAATGTAGCATGCAAGAGATGCTGGGCTGAAAACAGATCTCAGGGCAGGACTAAAGTCAACTGAAATACAAGATGATGCTAAAGCTTCTAAGCTCCTCACTGTTTCAGACACACTGATTACCTTACACTAGAACCTAGAGCCTCCGTACATTCTGAGAAGTGGAGGGAAAGAATATACATCTGTGATCCCCTTCCCGTGAGAAATAGATTTCAGTAGAAATAAGTAGTTTCTGAGGGGAAGTTTATCCTTGTGGGTGATCCCAGCTGAGACACTCAGAACAAAAGATGAAATTGGAACATCACCAGTAGCCCTTTGGGCCCTCCCAGTAGTCCTCTGTGGATGTTGCCCACCTTGGGGCTGACAGAGTCTTTGTGAAGGTATAGTAGCATGCACTGAACTGGAGATATGATGATCTCATGTCCTTATGACAGGCCCACATGCTATTCACATGATACCTGTATCCAGCTGTGTCTCCAGACCAGCATGCTGAGGACTAAACAGCAGTGAAGGATGCCTCACTAGAAAATGAATATTATTTTCCTAACAAATAAATGTGCATTATAAAAAAAAGATAGAGTAGAGAAGGGAGAGGCTATAATATACAGCTCCAGTTACACAGTGATTTCCATGTGGTTTTCTAAGACACAATTGTGAAGGGTATTGGGAACATCTGGGGGCTTGGAAAAACATAAATGCTTTCCTATGCCATCAGTCAATAATATGATATGATATGATATAATATGATATGATATGGTATGGTATATGATATGATAGATAAAAGCTGCTTACCCAAGTTTGACCTCCCATCAGTGAGAAAACCACCCTTATGTGGGGCATCCATCTCCAAATTTGAAGAAAGATCGAGGACTTCCATCTCTAGATTCTATGAGTAAAGAGAGGTCAGATGCCCTTGTGCCCTCTGTTCTCAAGTGCCTTTAATGAGAAGTCACCCTTCTGTCAAAGTGGCATGCTTGGGATGGCAAGTTCTGTAACTGTCATGGTTTGAATATGAACATCCTCCAAAGGGCCTTGTGCTGGAAGCTTGGTCCCAGAATGGTGTATTGGGAATGGATAGTTTTTAAGAGACAGGGCCTGGAGCAGGGGAGATGGCTCAGTGGGTAAGAGCACTTGTTAGGTAAGCATGAACCCTTAGCACCAACCAGTTATGCATGTGCTATAATCTTATCATAGTGGGGCAGCAGGACAGAAGCATATCCTTGTAGCTTATTTGCCAGCCAACCTAGATGAAATGACAAACCTGTGCTTCTGTGAGAGACGCTGTCTCGAGGTAGTACAGAGAGAGTGATGAACCAAGGTACCTAATGCCTTCATTTGGTCTCTTCATGCTTACACATTCATGTGACACACACACACACAAACACACACATACACACACACACACAAAGATGGTGCTTACTGCAAGGTGATTAGGTCACTTCTAGAGGGAGCCTGTGTAGCAAGAACTGGTTGCTATAAAAAGGGTCAAACTGTTCCCGAATGCCTCTCCCTTCTCATCCTGCCATGAGATCTTTCAGGCACACACGCCAAGTATGATGTGATGTAGAACTATGACAAAGGTTAAGCCACCAAGGTCACCTCATCTTTGAACAACAAAAGATCCAAACAAAGTTCTTGGTGCGTTACCCAGCTTCAGCTGTTTCTGTCCTAGCAGCAGAACGCGGCGAGCTCAGCCGCTCTTCAAGGAGCGCTTACCTCACAAGGAGTGACGAATAAGATGCTGAGTGTGTTGTAAGAGTCCTTGTCCTTTGAGGAAGCACATGGTAGCTTTACAGGTAGATTGAGGTGGTTTTCGTTTTCAGTTTAGACTGTGCCAAAAAAAAGAGAAGTAGGCGTGTGTGCAAGAATACAAGATGGAGGGCTGGAGAGATGGCTCAGAGGTTAAGAGCATTACCTGCTCTTCCAAAGGTCCTGAGTTCAATTCCCAGCAACCACATGGTGGCTCACAACCATCTGTAATGGGGTCTGGTGCCCTCTTCTGGCCTGCAGTGATACACACAGACAGAATATTGTATACATAATAAATAAATAAATATTTAAAAAAAAAAAAAAAGAATACAAGATGGAGCGGGCTTAGTGTTTAACGCAGGGCCTTGGTCCTAGCACTGCCCGTTCTGTGTCAGTGTACACGTTAGAAAGTCTAAAACTCAAGTTATATTGGGTTGGGCTGGTTTTATATTTTGCTCTAACTTGTTGCATGTATCACAAAATGAATTTAGAAAGCTACTGACTGTTAATACTGGCAGTTTTGTGTCTAACTTGAGATCTCAGGATATATGGGCATAGTGTGACTAGTCTTCTAGGTCATGAGAATTAGTGTGGCTACTCTTTCAGTCGTGAGGGTTAATGCAGCCACTCTCCCAAGTCATAGGAGCTAGTATGGCCATTCTCTCGAGTCACATGGGTCAGTGTGGCCCTTCTCTCAGGTCATTAGAGTGAGTCTGACCATCCTCTCAGGTTATAAGACTCAGTGTGGCCGCTCAGGCAGCATGAGTCTGTTTGTCTGCTTTGTGTTGGTGGTTAGCCTGCGTGTGTGTGAGTGTGTGTGTGTGTGTGTGTGTGTGTGTGTGTGTGTGTATGCAGTGCCTGCAAAGGTCAGGAGAGGGTTGGATACTCTAGAACTGCAGTTACAGCTGCCTGGGAGATGCCTCATCGGTGCTAAGAGCCAAGCCCAGGTCCTGTGCAAGAGCAGCCAGTGTTTCTAGCCACTGAGCCATCTCTCCAGTTTCTGCTCTGAAGGCTGTTGGTTACAGTCTGCTCCAAAAGCTTGTTTCATGGGAATCAGTCTTAAGATAGTGTATCATAGATCTCAGCAACACTGGAAATAGTTTTAATCAGTGATTTGATGGCCTTATATTTTTCGTTTTTACGAAGGGTAATAGTTGTTTCAAAAATTAACAGAGCCTCTGAAAATAAACACTTTTAAGGTCTTTAAAATTCTTTTCTTTAAAGCTATCTTTATTACATTTATTTGTTTTGTATGTGACATATGCAGATGTCAGTGGGCAGCTTGCAGGAGTTGCTTCTCTCCTCCCAGCTTGACATGGGTTCCAGGGATAGATCTCAGATTGTCAGTTTGGCAGCAAACTCCTTTAACCTCTGATCCCTCTCACCAGCCCCCAAAGTATATTTTGTTCTGCCCCACACACCTTGTATTGCCTTAAGCACCAGCATTGCTAAGGCAAGCAAAAGGAGACTTATGAAAAAAAGACTTCAAGACTTGGGGTTTAAAGACATTCCACAGCTGATTGTCATGGTATACATACATCATTAATCCCGCCACTTGGAAGGCAGAGGCAGGTAGAGTAGATCTCTGTGAGTTCCACATCATCCTGGACCACATGATGAGTTCCAGGACAACTGGAGTTACAAACAAAAGTAAGCAACAACCCTACCCCCCAATACAAAGACATCCCGTTCTCAAATTGCAAGCCTTTTCTCTCATTCTTTAGGTGAGCTCTCAGAGTACCAGTGGCTAAACAACACCTACTCTAGCCTTTCTAGTCTACAGCCTTCTGGTCAACCCTCATGAATTATCCACTGAGAAAACACGTCCTTGGGCAGATTTCTGCCAGCTGGTGAGGAAATCAGATTGTATTGCTTCTTTATTCTACCATCCCTTAGCAGACCTCCAGGGCCCTGCTCGAATTCCACTCATCACATTCGGAGGTCTTAGTGTTTTCAAATCTTACTCAGCAAAGTAAGATATTTCCTTTGATTGTAGCATTTTGGGTTGTGTTTAAGACATATCAGCAGAATGCAAACTGTTTACTAAGCAGGTCTGCATGTTAGGACTGCATGTACTCTTATCTGCTGAGTGAGTGAGTGGCCTTGCATCTCTTGGCTTTCATGATATTTTTATTCCCAAAACCTGAAGAGTTTGAGTTTCTGTCGGCTCCCTGCGATCTCATTGCCCAGCACCTCTCGGCTTACCCTTAAGTCAGAGCAGACTCATGTGGCCGCCCTTGTTCTGGAGAACCCTACAGCTTGCTTGTTTACACTTTTCATTTGATCTACCTCTCACTTGAAAGACCCAGGAGAACAGCTTGTTGGCTTTGCAACAAACACCGGTGGATTGCAGTGGAGGTTCTTCCTGCCACTGACTTGGATTCCTAAATTCCTATGACACTTTGAATGAGCTGTTCTACATAGTTTTGGTCCCCATACCTGGTCCCCAGTTGATAATGCTGTTTCGGTAGATTCAGGAGGTGTAGCTTTTCTGGAAGAAAAATGTCATTGGGGGGTGGGCTTTGAGGTTTCAAAGCCTTGCCCTGGTGCGGGAGAATTGCCTGTATTCTGTCAATTACATTTTAAATAAAAGCTGATTGACTGGTAGCCAGGCAGGAAGTATAGGAGGGGAAAACCAGACAGGAGGTAGAGGTAGGACAATGAAAACAGGAGAATTCTGGGAAGCAGGAAGCCTATTCCTCGAGTCCTGTACACCAGACACTGAAGAAGCAGGATGTGACCTGCCCTGCTGAAAAAGGTACTGAGCCATGTGGCTAACATAGATAAGAATAATAGGTTAATATACATGACAAGAGTTAATAATAAGCCTGAGCTAATGGGCCAAGCAGTGTTTTAATGAATATAGTTTCTGTGTGATTATTTCGGGGCTAAGCTAGCTGGATGGCTGGGGTGACAAGCAGGCCCTCATGCTACATTGCCCCATTCCCAGTTCACGCTCTCTGCTTTGTACTTACGGTTCAAGGTGTGAGTCCTCAGCTTCCTGCTCCTTCTACCATGCCTTGCAATCATGGACCCCAACCTTCTGGAACTTAAGCACCAGTAAACTCTGTTTTATAGGTTGTTTTGTTCATGGTGTCTTATGGCAGAAATCTAAAAGTAGACAGAAGTTGATATGAAGGAGTGGACTATTGCTGCAACATCTAGCCATGCTGGTATTTTGTTTTGTTTTTTGAGTGTGGAAGACTTTGGGATTTTGAACTAGAAGAGATTGAATGCTGTGAGAAGAATTTAGTGGGTTGCCCTAGTAGGAGCTTGGAAGACAGGAGTGCCAAGGGCCATGCAGACTGTGGAAGCCCAGGTCAAGGGGATTCAGAGGGGAACAATATTTTTAACAACAGCTAAAGACCTTTCTTGTGATTATTATTATTTTTTTTAAAAAAATATAGCTTCCTTCTATCCTTATCCTAAGAACCTGCCTGAGGCTAAACTTAAAAGTAGTGGACTAATTTATTTGGTGGTGGTGATTTCAAAAGAGTCCAATATTGACTCTGGCATGTGGTTATCAGTAATTATTCTTAATAAGTCTTCAATGAAAAACAGCAAATGGGGCAGAAAGAAATACAAAACATACAGTTCATGGAGAAAAAGGGTACTGGCAAGTTTAATATTAGAGCCAATGCTTATGTTAGAAGAGAGGCTAAAATTGTTAAGGAGATTAGCACCATTAATAAGAGGCCATATTTCCTCAAGGCAAGACCTCACCAGCTCAGCTAATGCGTGAAAAGGAACTTAAGGCATGTTCTGTCCCTGGAAGGTAACTGCAATCCAAGGCAGCTGCTAATGTGGTCCGTGGGTCCCAGGGCTTTCCCAGGCATTGCCCTGTGTATCCATCATTCAGTAGAAGTAAAACAGCACAGCAAAGGACTGCTGTGCGGGCCGAGACGGTTGAGAACGTGGTTGAGAAGGTGTGTCACTGTTCATCTCTACATAGAGATAGTGTGTGGGCGACCTGAATTTACCTGGCCAGTTACTGTCTCCGTGACTCCCAGACCATGTCTGTTCTCCAGTAGGCTGTCCTTTGGCCTTCCACATCAGCTGTTGTACATGCGTTCCCAAAGTCGATCCATGACATAGCAGAAGGTAGATTTGAGAGATGTCCTGTTCCTAATCTGAGAAAGAGAACGGGCCTGAGGAGCGGCCGACAAGTACCGAGGGAGGTATACAGGGAGGAAGCTCAGAGAAGGTGACTCGAACCTGGCAAGCTGGGGCAGCAAGAGAACCTGTGGCCAGTTAGCAACAGTAAGGGGAGCTTTGAAGAGAAAGAGGAGGCTTGTTTCCACTGTTTGCACACCTTGTTTCAGAGCTCATGGGACACAGAGAAACTCTGTCGTCCAGTGACTATGGGACTTGAGCACACACCAGATTCAAGAAGGCTATATGCCTGGACAAGCTACAAAATCCCCTACATATTAACAGTCACCAACCTGAACCTGACAGCAAATGAGGGAAGGACCTCCTCGAGGTGAGGTGACCCATCTCCTTCCCTCACCCCTTGCCTCTTCTAACCCCCTTACTCCAGCTGGGATACCCTCCTCACATATTTTCAGGTCCTGGTCCCGATGTAACCTTTGTGCTATATCATACTTGGGCCTGCCACTGCCCTGGGGCTCAAGGGCACTGGGACCGGAGCCTAGCTCTTCACCATATCTTAGGATTGGTGCGTTGTTGAGGGCCTTATGTAGACAGAGGCTGCTTGTTCATTTCCCAGCCACCCTGACCAGAATAATCACACAGAAACTGTATTAATTACAGTACTGCTTGGCCAATAGCTTAGGCATATTCCTGACTAACTCTGACATTCCTTTAGGGTTGAAGCTAACTTGAAGATAGCTGGGTATGTGTCATGCTGGGGCCTTGGAGTCACTTGTGGCTGACAGTAAAAATGTCCTGCCACAGTGAGGTCAAGGTCAGTGGAGGACAGTGAGAGCCTGCCGGGAGCCGTCAGGCTGGTCTCAGAAGCCCCTGTTGATGTTTCAGGGTTCTAGATGGGAAGAGAATTAAGAGCCACCCAGGGATAGAGCACGGTGTGTAGGGGCACAGTGGTAAGGTAGCCATGGTCACCCAGTGTGTGGACCCTATGAGGAGAGGGGCTCCCAGAAGTGGCACCCGCGGTACACTGACTCCCTCCCTGATGGCATCACCACCTAGATGTACAAGTTTGCACGTGACTCCACAGGCCACCGTGGATTTGGTAGTCCTGTCACCCCAGCTCTGCCTCTCCCGCACAGCCCATTGCCCTGTGGACTGGCCTACCCTGTCCGTGCTCCTGAATCTTGGCTGAAGTTGCTGCCTGGCCTAGGGACTCCAGCTGAGCACTCAAAGCAAGGCCTCAGTGGCCTGGTAGAAAATGACTTTCCTTGTCCTTCCTTCAGGAACCTGCTACCTCCTTTAACTGATGATGTGTGAAATGTCCAAGGTGCTGGTCTGAGGACAGGGGAGTGCCAGCCATGACCACACTGAACAGGGCAGAAATTGCAGGCAGGAGAGACCAAGTCCAGGGACTCTGTAGGCCAAATCAAAGCTTTGTCTACTCTCAGATGGGTTGCCAAAGGCCATCGTTTGAAAGTACTTCCGTAACCCACTGCACCTACATGGCTGGGATGCCTGTGGTGTTGCCCTGACTGCAGAGATAGTTGAAGATGCACTGAGTGCCTGCTGCTGTCAGTGTGTGTGTGTATGTATGTATGTGTGTGTGTGTGTGTGTGTGTGTGTATGTGTGTGTATGTATGTGTGTGTGTATGTGTGTGTATGTGTGTGTGTGTCTCGTCAGGGAGCTATCATGGTGTGCCTGCTGCTGTCTCTGTGTGTGAGGGTGGGTTGGGGAGCCATCATGGTGTGCCTGCTGTTGTCACTATGCGTGTGTGGGGGTCGTCAGGGAGCCATGACAGTGACTGGATGGAGCACGTTGTACTCCTGTTGCCTCCACAGATCTTTTAGCAGTAGACAATGACACGTGACCACGTCTAGAGTGAAGAGCTGCTGGTCCTGTAGCCTGTAGCTCTGCTCCCAAAATAGGCATCACTTTTCACATGGATGTGTACGTTTATCTCCATACATACTATGCATTTTTCTTTAAGAACTTTATTTGTGTGTGTGTGTATCTGTGTGTGTCTCTGTGTATGTATACACAACTCGGAACAGCTTTCTTTTCACCTTTGCATGGGGCCCAGGGATTGAGCTCGAATCAGACAGTCAGTCTGTGTGCCAACCTTTCCCCCTTGGAACCCGTCCATCAGCTCCCCTTATACATTATTCTGGAAGCATCTCCCCCACCCAGTCTTATCCTGCAGGTGGAGAGTCAGACATCTCTCTGTCTCCCTGACTCTATTGTCTATTTTTCCCCACTCCCCTGTTTAGTTGTGAATTCATATTTATGTTAGGACTAGGAACAACCCAGGCTTGTTTTTAGCTGGAGGAAGCTATCCCCTCTTCCTCCCCCTGGAATGCCTTGGCTTCTCTTCATAAGTTGTAAGTGAAAGGAGACCTGAGGAGGCAAAGGCAGAAAGATTGTACGAAGTTTGAGGCCATCTTGGTCTACATAGACCCTCTCTTAAGCTTTCTCTCTTCAACGAGACCTAAAGTTGGTGTGGCTTAAGACTAGGCAGTTCATCTCTATTAGGTGTGATTATGTAATGTGACTGCCTGTCCTCGGGGGGACCTGGGCCCCATCTGAGATGTCTGTGCCCTCAGCAGGACGGGCTCCTTGGACCCCACAGCTACAGCAGAGCCCATCTCTGAAGGGCCAGGTAGCAAATGCCACTTCCCGAGGGCTCTAGCTGCTGCCTCTGTTACACAGCTTTGTTCCTGCGCGGCCCGATCTGCATTCCTGGGAAAGCGCCGACAGAGACAAGCAGCGGCTGGAGTTGCCTTGGGCGGCACTCGCCAGCCTTGACCTGTTTGATTAATGGAGGCCTGCCTGAATCTGCCTGCTCTGCTTTGTCTTCTGTTAGGAAACAGTCCTGGTGAGGTGTGTGCTTCCTGGCCGCCCTCCTGCTGAGAAGACCTACAACTTCGAAAGGTGAGAACATCTCAAGGAGAAGTGTAGAGCTGGGTTCAGTGTCCAGATACACCAGCTCCGTAGGGCTTAGGACGATGTGGGCCTCATCTACCAGTTTCCGTGTCTGGGTTCACAAATGAGCCATATGGTAGTGCTCCAGGTAAAAATCTCTCCCTAGTCATCCAATTTTGGCAACAAGTATTTTGTCAGGGTAACAGTGAGTAGCCATGGGGCTCAATGTCATGGTATCCCCCAGGCAAGACAGGACAGATGGGACCCCAGTGCCTAGGCTCTGCTTACTGCCCCACCAGGGCCTCTTCCTCCCCCATAGCTGGAGATACCCAGGTTCTCCCAGCCCACCCCTCAGGACCAACCAGCAAGTGAGCGAGCCTTTAGAGCAGGGGTTCTCGACCTTCCTAATGTTGTGACCCTTTAATTCAGCTCCTCGTGTTGTGGTGACCCCCTTACCCCAACCATAAAATTATTTTATTTCTATCCCATAACTGTAATTTTGCTACTGTTATGGACCGTAATGACTGTGTTTTTTGATGACCTTAGGCAACCCCTGTGAAAAGGCCGTTTGAAACCCCAGGGATCATGACTCACAGGTTGAGAACCTCTGTCTAGAGGGGACAGGACCAACAGAGCTTGCCCAGAATTGCCATGGACCTTGTGGTCATCCCAGTCACAAGGCCAGGGCACAGGATAGAAGAGCCCAAGCCACCAAAGATTGTCTGTTTCTAAGGGTCCCTTGCCCTCCCTACACACTAATGTTGCCATTGCTCTCCCTTACCCCCTGCAAGCTTGAGAAGCCACAGGCAGTAAGCTCTATAGACTGCAAGCTCTCCTCTGACCCTTGTCTGACAGCGTTCCCTATGGGAAGCTGTAGGACATGCTCTCCCCAGGGCTCTGTGTTTGCATTGGTGCTCTGCCTCTGTAACGTGGCGCTCTCTTTACCCCCAGAGTGTACGGCCCGGCAGAACCTCAGGCAGCGGTGTTTGGAGATGTGCGCCCCCTCCTCATATCCCTTCTGGATGGGTGAGTTCAGATATTCCAAAAGCCAGGGCCACGGTGCATTTAAACATAAGAGCCCCTCTGGCCATAGGATGGCTGGAGCTTCAGGGGCTGGGGGAGTGGCAGGAGAGCTGATGCTGCCGCAGCGTGGCTCAGCGTCTGTCAGTGGAGACTGTGCTGGAGCAGAGCGGGGTGAGCACTAGGCTAGCATCAGGCCAGCTTCTGGGCTCCGAGCTGTGCTGCAGTCACCATGCTCGCTGTCAGCCTGGAAGAGCAGCTTTCTTCACCACGTGAGGCTTTAGAATCATCCAGATTCGTTTCATCTTGTCTTTGCTAATTCAACTTGACATCTCTCTCTCTCTCTCTCTCTCTCTCTCTCTCTCACACACACACACACACACACACACACACACACACACTGCATTCTGATCATCTTCCTCTTACCTCTGTTAGCACCTACTTCCCTAAGTCTCTGTCTATGTTAGTGTTGTTTTGTGTGTGACCCACTGAGTTTAACCAGGTCCATCTGTATAGCAGTAGGTTTGGAACTAGCCAATGGAGCTGGTGGACTCAGCAGCATTGGGCCCACAGTTGAAGACAAGGACTCAGCCTGCCCCTGAATCCATCAGTAACCAATAGTTCAGCAGAGAGGGAAAGGCCCAGTGAGCCTCTCCTCATGTCTGCTGCTGGTTAAAAGGTGCAGTCTCCTGTAGGCCTGCCGTAGGCAGCTGTAGTTTCCATGACTACGTGATTGTAATGGATGCCATGCTCAGAAGATAACAGCTCACAGCCCTGCCCCCATCCTCTTTTGTCTTCCTTCCCAGGATGTCCCCTGAGCCTTAGAGGGGGTGGATATATGTCCAGTTTAAGGCTGCAACTGACTTTTCAATGGAAACTTTAAAAGCCGTGAGGCTTTGGAACAGTGAGAGACCACAGATGCCAGCCCAGACTACTTGCTATGCCCTGCAAAACTGTCTGTCCTAATTGAAGGAGAAAGAAAAACACTCCACAACAAAAGCAGGTTAAAGGAATTTATGAACTGCAAGCCAACCCTACAGAGACTCCTGGAAGGAGTGCCTGGTGCCAGACAGAAGGATAAGCACACCCACAAGTGGAAACAAATGGTGCTTGCATAGTTGTTAGGCAAAGGAGGCCTAAGAAAACAAACGCCACACACTAAAAGGGCAATAATTAATACACATCTTTTAATAATGGCCTTGAATGTTAATAACTTCAATTCCTTATCCAGAAAAAGCAAGCTAGCTTGTTGAAGACAGGAGCTGTTTCTGTTGCTGAGGCTGCCTCCCCTTCAAGGACAGATAGCACCGAGGGGTAAAGAGCGGAAAGGAGCATCCCGAGCAGACAGAACCAGGAAACAAGCAAGTGTTGCTGTCCTTTTCTTCCTTTGGCTCTTCAAGGAAGAATTTCTCTGTGTAGCCCTGGCTGTCCTGAAACTCCCTCTGTAGACCAGGCTTGCCTCAAACTGCCTGCCTCTGCCTCCCGAGTGCTGGGATTAAAGGCATGCGCCATCACAATCTGGTTAAATCTTGTTATTCTAATACCTGACAAATTAGAAGCCAGAACTCCTCAGAAGAAATAAAGGTCACTATGTAATGTCCACTAAGAGAACATTACATAGTAAACATATGTGCCAAACTTGGATGCACCCAACTTCATACAAACACTTTGTTAAGCATAGACCCTCAGATTAACCCCAACACAGAACCAGTCAGTGACTTCAATAACTCTTCTCAGCGGACAGGTCATACAGACCAGAAACAAAAAAGGAAATGTTAGGATATATGACATTCTTCACCACTTTAGAAGTGACTGAGAGCACCAGTGTCCGACTGGGAGCTGTTTTCTGAGAACCATGCTTCTGATCTTGGAGAGCCCAGCTGCTGGTTACCGGCAGGCATCAGAGCTGTGGAGCAGAGGCTCTCTGTACTGCAATGCTCTGAGCCGAGGCCCGGAGCCTGAGGGCATTGGGAGAAACTTTGGTAGAGAAGTCTTTCTCAAACTTCTCGAAGAAGACTTTCCTAGCAAAGTAGAAGCTGCCATCACCACAGAGTTGCTTTAGCCAGGGTGCTGTGTGGCCAGAGACCTGGCAATCTGCAGAGGAACGTCCACTTTGGGACACCCACATCTTCTCCACTGCCACTTGTCCGTGGGCCAATCCTCCCTCATCCAGGATGCATTTCCTGCTTCGGATCTGTTTTTACATCTGTCCAAAATAGACCCTTCACCAGAAATGACAGGGAGGTTCTGGTCGGCGTTCATCCTTTAGCTAAGTAGAGTGGGCATTGCGGCTAGACCACTTACCAGACTTGCTCTTCCGTCTTAAACCCAGCCCAGGGCATCTTTTTAAATGCCAGGCTTCTTTAGCTCCACATGTCCAGTGGCTTGGCCCCACCAGGAGCCTGGCCGCTGGTTTCCAGCAAGCAGAAGCCACCACACTTGGGGCAAGTGCCTAGGAAGGTTTCAGGAAGGTGGTGGATGTGTGGGATGTGGTCCACACTGAGTCTTTGCAGCTCCAGACAGAGAGCACCTGGTGGTTGAGAGACCTGCCCTACTGTGTTCTCCTCGAGGTCCCTGATCCCTGAAGAATGGAGTGGTAAGCCTCGGAGGCTTCTGCTTTCTCTCCGGTGGCTGCAGATACGACACAGAACGCTTTCACGAAACCATTTATCAGAGTGACTCTTACTTGTTTAACTTGCTAGGCTAAGCAGATACATCTGAATTGAGATAATTGAGTCAGAATTTCTAAGGTGAGGAGTACATGGGCTGTTGAACATTGCCAGGTGATTCCAAGAGGCCATTGGTAACATCTGCAGTATGCATTGGGCAGTAGGGTCAGGAGGACTGCTTCCTTACATCCAAAACAACCCAAAAACTTAAATATAATTTTAAACCCACATGGTGGAAGGAGAGAACCAGCTCCTGCAAGGTGCCCTCTGACCTCCACATGTGTGCTGTGACACACAAACCATGGAGCAGCCCACTGACCTCCACACGTGTGCTGTGACACACAAACCATGGAGCGACCCCTGACCTCCACATGTGTGCTGTTACACACAAACCATGGGGCGACTCCTGACCTCCACACGTGTGCTATGACATACAAACCATGGAGCGATCCCTGACCTCCACACACGTGCTATGACACACAAACCATGGAGTGATCCCTGACTTCCACACGTGTGCTGTGACTCACAAACCATGGAGCAGCCCCCTGACCTCCACACGTGTGCTGTGACACACAAACCATGGAGTGAC